CTGAGAGTTAGCACACAAGGTGGAAGATAAAGGGCACTGTCAAGCTGCTCTGCAATGTGGCTCACTTTAGAGCAGTGTAAATTTGCATTGGCCATAACACTACAGTAATGATTCCTGAAACTCAGGAGTACTAAACTAGGGTGTCTCTTAAGTTAGGAAGTTACACGGTAGTATTGCCAGATAGATCTGGAAGCTATACAAACAGATCTGCTCTTCTTCAGTTCCCTGCAAATACACATGCATGAACATGAAATGTGTTCATTCGTTCTACGTGAAATGAACAAGCTCACCTCTCCTGATTGCTGAAGGACTCCATGTAACAGAGTTCATGTCTCCAGCAAGGGTTAAAGTGGTTTTTAGTTGTCAAAAAGCATGTATCAGCTAGCAATCTGCTAACAAGCCACATACATGCTGGCAGGGCTGAAAAGGGACAGTACTTCTGTACTGGTTATCATAAAAACTCAAAACTCTAAAATTACATTTGCTGGATGCAAGCACAGGTGTTTTAACAAATGGATAAACTAAAAATATAGAAGGCATGCGCTTGTCTTAATACTGAAAGCTTCAAAAAAAAAATTTAGTGATGTAGAAGAAATGGACAAAGGAGCTGACCTGTATGAAATAGAAGAACTCCTTACCTATAATGACTTCTACTTTCTTGCTGTCTTCGTCCTCCCGGTCATTGAATACATGACACCAATATGTTCCTTGATGTCCCACATCCACGCAAGTTACCTATGCAAGCATCATCACAATCATCCCAACAGACCTCCAAAAAAAAACCTGCATCAGGTATTTAAGCCTCACATCTAAGCCCCACAGGCAAGAAAGAGTAAAAAAAACTAGCAGCACTTCAAGTGAGCACTTCATCAGACGTTATCATGGTTCTGGAGAAATTCTTTTCTTCAAGGGAACTTTCTGTGGTAAGCTCAAGGTGGTTAATGTTAGCTCCCAAGTGTGGCCGATTGCAGTAACTTACTGTGTAGACATTTTTGCTCCCATTTGCCAAAGGAAATCCATTTCTGAACCATTGGTAATGAGGAACTGGGTTTCCAACAGCTCCACATTCTAGTACCAAAGCATCCCCCACTGTCAGGTTTTGTGGCTGAGGCTGATTACAAATGCACAACTTGTTTTCAGGCAAACCCATTAAGAGCCCTTAAAAACGAAAAGGAAGTAACAAGAAAAGGATGTGTGAGACAACCTAAGCACAACAACAGGGACCCAAGTGCCTTGAGGAAGCAGGAAGGCACTTTCAGAAGGTGTTTTTGCCACTCACCATGAGGCATATCCTGAAGCTCACAAACTTCAAGGCGTACCCACCGACTGAACGTGAAAGAAGATTCACTGTTCACTCGGCAGATGTAAAAGCCAGAATCCTTTACACTCACTGGACTCAAAACCAGTTCTGGAGAATTACCATGGGGAACCTGCATCACAGATGAACCAAAAATACTTCCATTTCAATTGGTTTAATCTTAACCAGGATCGAGCATTATAATATTTATTTCCAAGTCCTTAACACCATCCTCAACTCCTTCACTTACTGTAGCCTGAGACAACTGAACTTACAGCTTCCTTTCTGCCCCATTCCACATTCACAGCCCCCAGGAATGAAGTGGTGTGAACATAAGGAATCACAGTTTTGTTTTAGCACATTCATAGGATCATCCAGCATTTCTTAAACTTTCTGAGTATTATAAGTATATACAGCAATCTTCTCTCATTGTGAATAAGAGTCTTAAAAAAAAAAAAGGACGATCCAAAATCATTATGTGTTATTTTCACTATTTAAAAACCCTGCATTCTCTATGAACTCTTACCTCTTTTTCCTGCTTGAACCACTGGTATTGCACAAATGGGAGTCCTGTTGCCCAGCAGCACAACTTGACAACCTGACCAGAGAGCACTGCTTGAGAGTCTGGCTGTACAACAATCTTTACACCTTTAAGACAGAATTTACACATAGAAAAGTTATGAAGAAATACAAGTCCATAATTAATATTTGCATTTAAATTGCCCTTGGAGCCCGGAACATTTCTGTCATTAAATATACTTGAAAATAATTTGTTTGTACTGTGTATATGCACAGTTCCAATTAGTTATATTACTTTAAGACATTCAAAATTGTCTTCCACTACACAAAATCCATGCTCAAATCGAGAAGTACTCGATGGAGCTCATAAAAGGTTTAAAGCATATCATTCAGGTATTTTAATTTTAAAGGAAATAATATGTCTCATGGTATCACAGATCCCTTTTTGGAAAGATATTCTCAGTTTTAAATGTTTGCTCACTCCCAACAATTTCTTTGAACTGTTCAGATTAACACCCAGCCTGAGGGAGTCAAAGCAGTCAGAGTTTAAGTCCAACAGAGCACATTTTCCTGCTATTCCTTATACACTCTTATGTCTCTGACTCATGCGGAACATAGGGCTGGGGTTTTCTGCACGGTAAAACTTTCTACTTCAAATCTTAACTGACACCACTCTGATATGATGAAATTATTTTCTTAACCTAAGCTATTCCCAGCTTGGTCCCAAAACCAGGTCCACTGCTATAGCCAAGATCATCAAAAGAAGGAGAATGGAACATTTAAAAATCATGATTTGAAGCATTCTTTGCTCTGGATGGTACAACTAGACCAGAACCTACAGAGACAATAGCCTGAAACAGAGAGCACATGGCGTTTGGAAATCACGTAACCTTGCCTGGCAGAGCAGTGGGTTCTATCAACTGCCTCCACTCACATGATTACTCTGAAAGAGTAGAACACACCGTCAGCTACTCCAAAAAAAGCTGCAGCACTTTGAAATTCCCTGCCTTCCTTACTCCAAAATCACTTCCTTCTACACCTAGCACTGGAGATCAGTACCTCAACTCCTCATTTAACACTTCCTCTGCCGCTTTCTGCAGTTAAACTGTGCTGTTTTTGAGCATCACAGTCCTCTAACATTAACCAAAAGAAAAGTAACTATGCCATTTCAATTTAAAGGACAGAAAAAGTAAGAAGCCTTGCTCTTTCCAAAACTTCCACTTTCTTTTTTATTTTCCCCCAATTTGCATCACAAACAGCTCTTAAGAACATAGATAAGAAAAATCCACTGTAAGATAAGCATTTTGCACTCATCAGAAGCATTCCAAACAAGTTCTAAGAAATCTGATCCATAATTTCTTCCCAGTTTCAGTTCCTTTCCTGTGGTTTATTCAGCACTACACAGTGACTTCCTGCACGTACCATGGAATTTAATGGTTCAAAAAGAAAAACCTTCCAGCTCAATTTTGTGATTGATTACAAAGACACATAAATATTTCTTCCATTTTCCTTGGAAAATGCAGAGCATAAGTGTTACCTTTGAATATGGCAAAGTGACATCTATGGTTACCAGACTTTGAAACCATGCAAATTCAGTATTCATAATCTTATTAATAATCTGCCCTAACTGGACCCTTCCCCTTCATCTGGGATAAGTTACTGACATCTCCAGACTCTAGTGCTGGCAGCACTACCTGTCTGTCCATCTCTGGTCCATAAGCATCTCCCAGAGGCACATGCTGAGACCAAACCCCAGTCAGCAGACAGAATGACAACGCCCAGCACACCCATGGAGCCAAGTCCAAGTCTGCAACAACACTGCATGAAGGTTTGGCTTACATTTAACCTCAGAATCAGATCAGCCAATAACCTTGGTAATCATCTGGATCCCAGCTACCTAGAAATCATGCACTAAAGATGTTTTTAGCTACTGTAGAGTGCTGCCTTGAGTGTTCCCAGTGTAAAATCCAGGGCTGCAGTGAAAGCAGAGCCCAGAACTGACCTGAGTGGCTCAGACACCGGAGAGCCTCTGTGTGCTCCAGGGCCTGCAAGGACTCCACCAGCTCCACCACAGTGCAGCCCCGATCCCCCAGCAGCTTCAAGAGACTCCAGCTGGGACTGCCTTCTGGCTCCAGCACCTGGAGGGAACACTGCTCCAAGTCGAGAGGGCTATGGAATAATGTGAGAAAGACATGGCATAGACCTTCTCAATACCTTTTTCTCAGAAAGGACCTGGGTAAACAATCACTTGTAGATAAATAAAAAGATTTTTAAAAATAGAGATAGGAAATTCCCAGCTGATTTGGACATATTTGCAGCATTTCCTTCAAGTTTCAGGAGTTCAGAGGTTATTCAGTAACACGTCCACAGACAGAAAGTGGTATTAGTGAGCTGGATGGTATAAGAGATGCATATACCTCACAAGTCTCAGCAAATGTATTAAGAAACCTCCTATTTTTCACTTTTAAAGTGTCAGCAGAAAAAGTAGTACAGCACCTTTCATTTCTATGAGCCTGATTCAGAAGCCGTAGAGAGTGAGTCAGACTCTTAACTTCAAAGTACAGGAAGACTGATTTTAAAGTTGTTGTAAACAAGTGACTGCTGGAGTCCAGCCTAACACACCGACTGTACAGTGTAGTTAACTGTGTCTGAACTTTGTAGTTTCAACTTTGGTGTCGTTGTCACGCACTTTCAATCACAGCGGATTCAATCAACACAAACAAAGAAATAATGACAACTGCCTAAAGAGAATACAAGGTTACATATTTCCACTAAAAAGATTAATCAACGTTTCCTTCCTTAAATCACAGTGCTACGCAAACCTGGGGGCGAGATACCTTCAGTATGTGGTGATACTTTCACTTATGAAGTGGACGGACTTTCAGTGTTTTACGGGATTAGAGAGATAAACACGCACCGCTGGGCCGCGCCCCGCCGCCGCTGCCCGCGCCCCGCCGCTGCCCGCGCTCACCTCAGCCGCACCGTGCCGCGGCTCCCCGCTCGCTGCGCCAGCTCCCGCCAGCCCTTGCCGGGCGCCGCGCGGTCCAGCAGCTCGCTGAGCCTACGGAGCAGCGGCCCGGCCAGGCGGCTGAGGGGCAGCGGCCCCGCCGCGCCGCACTCCATGGCTGCCCGCCGGGGCGGGGCTGCCGCACGGAAGGAAGAGCCACGCGGGACGGGGCGGCCGGGCGGGGTCCGGCTGAGGGGAGCGCGCGCGCCGCGCCCTGAGGGGGCACAGCCCTGTTGAGGGGCACCGCGCCCTGTGAGGACGCCGCCCTGAGGGGGCCCAGCTCTGAGGGCCCTGCGCCCCCGGGACATCCCGTCGTCCTCCTCGGACACCGTGAGGAAACAGTTCAGGTGCGGTTGTACCCCTGTTGAAATGGGAGTGTTGTGCGAGCGGAAGACCTGCTGCAGCGTCCCCGGGTGGTCCTGAGAAGGCCGAACGTGGCTTTAGAACCGGGGCTGGGGCGTAAACCAGACAAAGCCCACAAGACCTGAGAGCTGTTTCTCTCTCGCTTTGAGGAGAAAAAGCTTTATCTGACTGCAACCAGTACGACCATGGATTCTCTTCCTTTACACAACTTTTCCCAGCCTGCTGCCACTGTCGAAGCGTGCAGCGTAAAGGCACCTTGCGTCCTCAGCAAGGGAGAGGAGGGACTGCTCAGGAAGAGCCTCCCAAGATGTTCCCCTGAGTGATCGTTATCACTGCAGACAGATGGATGATCTGAAGCGAATTCTCACCTCTCTGGTATTGCAGCTTGCTCAAAGTGGACTGAAAGTGCCTAAGTAATTTTACAAACATTTTTAATCAGTGATCAAGCATTTGGGTAGCTCAGAGAAGTGGCAGATGCCCCATCCCTAGAAGTGTTCAAGATCAGGTTGGATGGGGCTTGGAGCAACTTGGTCTGGTGGAAGGTGTTTTTGCCCATGTTGGTGTAGGGCTATATGACCCTTAAAGGTCCCTTCCAACCCAAACTGTTCTGATTTGAATGTGGCTGCCTCTCATTTCTTTGACTATTAGGCTCTTGTATAAAACATAAGATATTCTTATTGCTATTTCTGAATAAGAGTGGTTGGAAGTGCTATATTTACTGCTGAAGACCACAGTTTCCTATCTGTATAGATAACACTGGGAGCAAGAAGTATTTAGCATAGTAGGATCTTGTAACCAGTTTTAGCTGCGTGTCCTTCAAAATGCTTAAGGAAAAACTTGGCACAAAAGTTGTTTTTCAGCCTCTTCCAGATCCCTTAAGCTCAGGGCAGTTTGTGCAATTCATTCCAGTTTGCCCTGTGTGAGACTTGTCTCCTTGGGTACCAAGAGTGGAAATACTTTCTTACTGCAGGATTTGCTTATTTGCCTTTGAGGGATGAAGATCATAAGGTGAATTTCTGTGTAGAGATTATGAAAAGTCCACTGTCCACTTTTGATTTCCTCAGCCTGCTTGTTAGGCACTGTGGATTTTCTCATGCTCAGCAGAACTTTTGTGTGCCTAACGTCCAGCAAGTAAGAAATTCCCAACTTGCCTAGAAGAGCAGTTAGGCACGTGCTTCAAAAAACAAGCCAGTGCTTTGTTATGAAAAGCTAAGGCCAACACTTCCTCTGTCTCAAGGCCATTAGGAAATTCCTATGGACTTCTATGGCAGTAGGATGTGCCCTCTCCTCACTGCCAACTCCCTGTCTGGCAGAGGTTTTCCCAGGAAGGGCCATCTGCTGCATGTAATGAAATCGTCTCTCTTAAAAGTCAAACTGTTCAGTGATCAGACTCCCTATCCTGAGATCACACTCCAAAACACCAGCGAAGCCGTCGGCTGGCTTGCAGCTCCAAACAACGCGCACAAATTCAGCCTCCTTTGTCTCCAGCAGGGAGGCCCAGCCCAGGACCAGCCTATCCCAGAACATCCACAAAGAGCTCAAGGGTAAGTGAGGGGTCGGGGTCTTTGGACTTTGAAAATTATTTGTCTGCTTTTTTTCTCCTGGGCAAATAGAATGTGTATCATAAAAGACTAATAAAGGAAAAAGAGCAAGTTACTTTTATTATCAATGCGCTACAATGGATATAGTGATTTATACTGCTGTTGACCAGGAAATGGGATTTGGTATTTCCTTCTGCTAAAGAAGAGCCATTTTTGTTTATCCCGATAGATTTTGGTGTTTCTAAACATGTTGCATTTATAAATCTGCTCACTGTTTCTGAAATTACTCTCTGCTACTATTTCCACCAAGTCTCATTAAGACAAAATTGCAAAATGTGTACAAAAGCAAGCTTCCTCCTCTAAAGAGTGTGTAAGTGATAAAAGGTATCCTGAAAAACACATTTGTTAATTCTAAATATTTATTGCACGGTCTAATATGCATTACATAAAAAGTTCCTCCATTCTTGAGGAAAAGGTCTGGTCACTTGGTAGTAATAGATGATTCCCAGTCTTCATTAATTGCTCAGTCTGACAGGGTCAGATGGTTGACAGATGTTAAAAATAGAATAAGACAGATCAGTGTTAAGAGTTGTGCTGTGATTGCTTATTTTAATTACTCTATATTAAGGTGTTTGTTTGACATGTGCAGAGCCAGTAATTTATTAGTCCATTTAGCTGATAAATTATGGATGAGGTGTTTTTATACTGTGGAGCTGTTTACAGCAGGTACTGCACTAATCAAAATGTTGTCAAAAAGCCTTGGATACTGGCAGTTGAAGAACCTCAATATATCACAGAATTTTTGGCAAGGGCATATTTTCCAGACATCTGCTTTTTGAACAGCCACAACTTCACTGATGTTTTTCTTACCTAGACCTTGTTAATCCAATAGATAGTGTGGTAACTGGTTTAGATAATACAGTGTTTCTGTATTTTGGTTTCTGACACTATGCACTCTTTGACAAGTACGCTGCTCAAGGTGTTCCATTTGGTTGTGGTATCTCAAAGGACTTGGAAAAGAATAATGTGGTTATAGTTATTTGTATTTGAGACAGAACTGAAGCAGGCAGAATTCCTGTGAGGTGAAGAAACAAGTAGAAAATGCATAATTGTAAATCTGTGCACATGTGGGTTCTCATTACTACCTCATTGAATGTTTCACTCTGTAGTACGCTCACTGCTGTATAAATCCTTACTATAGCCCTGTGGTGAGTAGAGTTCACAAAATTCTGGTTTCTGTTCTCTTGGAGGTTGTGACTTTTACAAGGTAGCAGTTTAAGAATGCAACCATGATCACAACACATTTGGAAAATGTTTTTATGGTGTTCCAAGTTGGAAAACTTGTATAGACCAGGAATGGTGGATCAGAAATTTCAATGGAACTTGATTCCATTAGTACTTACAGATGCACTGAGCTTACAAGATTCACAGTGTCAGTGTTGATGAAACTTTTAACCAAGAACTTCTGAAATCTTCTCTTAAAGGAAAAGTTTAAACACAGAACATCAGGAAAAGCATTTAAACATAAAACATTCATGGCAAACTTTCTAGAAAGATGAAGTTGTATGTTCCAGATCATAAGTATATTGTATGTATTTCCATACAGGGCATATAATACCTCCTTTAAGAAATACACATTGGTGTGTAATATCTGTATTAATTGTATAACTGAAAAGTCTTATGTTTTGTTTTACTTTGGAAGAAGAAAAATGTTAAACTTCAAAATATCTCTGTTGAGAGATGCCCTGCATGAGGAGTAAAAAGCTATGTATGTTCCCAGATACAAAACAGTTGGCAGGGTGGGAATGGGGATTAGGTGCAATGATACCTGTTGACTTCTGAGAGGAGCTAAACAAAACACATGCAAAGTTCTGTAGGAAAGTTAAAACATGTTTGAGAAATTGTCCAGGGAGAATGGCAAGGGAGTTAGCATTAACCTTGGGGCATAGCAGCATTTAAGCAGGATACTCAGATTTCACAGGTGACAGGTTTCGTGTTATACATATGGTGCTGTAGTTGGTCAGTCCTGGGATCCCATGGTTAGTGGAGATTCCGTTCTGCTTTTTTTGTTTTGCTTTGTTTCTGTTCTACTTTTGCTGCTTTCTGTTCCTTTAATCAATATTTCTTAGATATTGCTGTTCATACCAGCAAGCTTTCTGGTTGGATCTCTGTAATATATAACCATTTCTGTTCATCATCAAGACAAGTTCTGTGGTTATTGGTGGTTTGGTTTGGAAATATTTCATGTTCAACTTACATGAAGTCTAATTATATTGACCAAATTTATTGTATTTCTTTCTTACCTGCCAATAAAACATCTCTTAAAGGGATGTATGGGAATGTATAATGTATGCTCAGGCAGATGGAGAAAGAGCTTTTGGTAAATCTAAGAACAGTAGTAGAGTAGGGTGGGATGGGATAGTATAGAAGATAATTGTCTTGCAAAAGAATAACTCCAGATCCCAAAGTTCAGCCTGTCGAGTGGAGACCATAGCAGGAAGCTCAGCTGGCAGCTGGGGAGTTGTCTCAGACCAAAAAGTTCCAATAAAAAAAGCAAAGTACACAACCACTCTCTAAACAGAATCTGTCTGGTGGAGAAGTGTTCAAAGAACAGGTGAGCAGACAGTGTGTGGCTCACATCCACATCTTCCAGGCTGGCCTTTTTGTGTGTACAACTTTGGTGAAAGTTAATCCTCGAGCACTTAAGGCAAAGGGTTCTGATAGAATTGGTGTGGCCAGCAGCAGTGCAGTTCCTGCAGCCATGGTCCATGTGCACTGAGGCACACAGTGTTTCTGGAGCTCTCTCTCTTGTTTCAGCTATCCGAGAACTGCTGTCAGCTCGGTATAGAGAGCCCAAAGTGTTGGTTGATAAAAGGCTATTCCCCAGTGTGAACCACTGTGCATGATCAGTGTCATTCCCCCGGTGTTCTTCTGATATCCCCCGTGTGGGCTCACTCAGCCTCTCCCTTCCCACTACTCTGGCTGGGTGGGCGTGAGGCAGGTCCTTGGCAGGACCTGCTCTGGCTGGGAGCTTTGGGGGGTCACAGCTTGGCTCCATCGAGGGGTGGGCATTGACCAGGTGCTCACTGTGCCGTGGAAATGCGTGGGACGGACCCGGAGCCCGGAGCTGGGGCTGCACAGATAACGGGAGGTGGTTCCTGGGTGGGCGGACAGCTCCAGCAAGGTCAGGGACCAGTGAGTGCTGCTGAAAGATAGGAAGAAGCACTACTGAAAAGGGTCTGCACACAAAACAGACATTACTCCATGAATAGATCTTGAGCAAAGGAAAAATGCTTCAGAGACGTCATAAAGGGGATTTTTCCACTGACTCTAGAGGACATGAACCTCACAGAAAGGCACAAATTCACTTCTGAATTGCTAAAATGCATGTGCTTCCCGTATAAATAATTTCTGTGAATATAAAATTGCTTACAAATGAATGTGAAAAACAGAATTCACTGCTTAGAGTTTTTAGAAGTCTAAAAATAATAATAATTATAGTAATAGGATAAAAAAAGGACAGTATTTCCAGCGGGGGTGGGGGGGGGCATACAGACAATGTTATCTTTATACTGTTACATCAATAAGATACCTGCATAGTATTGTGTTTCATGCATAATTCAAGTGTTCTTTTGAACTTTCTGATGTTTTGGGAACCTCTTTGTCTGACTTCTTCATACCCCGGCTTATCTGCATGACATCCTGGGTGTCAGGTCAATATATTTTCATGTGTCTCCATCCTGCTGTTTCACGTCCTCTGATAAGGGTTTAGTATGCCCTCCTTAAATTTAACACGGTATTCTCTAATTGTGCTCCGGTGCTCTGGTTTGTGCCACGGTTATCTTAGCACTTGGACAGGCTGGATGGCCTTACACTGTTTTTGGTTACACAAAAGCCTTTTTTTCCCATCTTATGTTTTGCTAAGGTCCATAACACAGTACATTCATCACACTATTATTATTATTTCCATAAGTGATACATAGCTATTATATTCATTACACTGCTATTTCTATGAGGAATACAGTGCATGCTTAAGGTGATAGATTATATTATACTAACATGCAGCCAAAAAGAGTTATAATTGATACTATTTCTAAATAGTTATAATCACCAACAACATGCATAGGCTAATACATAAATGCAAAAGCCAATATCTGGTCATTTTTCACAAGAAGATTTTTGTTTTGGTAATAATTTAATAAAGTAGGAAAAATGTGATGCAAGAGAGAAAATGTAATGGCCACCTTTTAATCAAGTTTATATATTTTTGTCAGTTAATTTTTTTCTGACATTAGGAATAACCCCACAGGTCCCTCTGAAATCACTAGAAGTGGCTTTGTCACCAAAACTACCTACAAAATATAAAATATTTTAAATTTTTTTCCTTCCATGTTAAAGTGTAATTCAAAACTGTTTTGATCTCAACTGAAATAAATTATCAGATATTGAACATGTTTAATAATGTATAAAAGTTTCAATTGGGAGTGATGTCATTTCAAGGAAAATAATTTTGAACAGCCAGATTTTATGTTTAGAACTGGAATTTCAGACAATATTTTCACTATGAATAGTGAACAGGCTTTTCACAACCAGTATGGGATTATGACAAAGTATGAATTTTAAATGAAGAATCTCTTCAGGAAATTGACTTGAATTTGTTTTATTATATATTTGCCTTACAGAAATGTTGGGTGATTGTTTTAGCCATTTTGATGCTTTACCCAGCCATTCTTTTGTTAACTATTCTTTGGAATGGATTGTTTTTTTGACAAATCCCGATAACTTCCTGCTATCAAAGGGTTTTGGTGAAGCAGCTCCATCTGCCTGTTGCTTCCTTGTTAATCTGACTGTTGCAGGTTTACATCAGTTCAATATTTCTCCTCAATCACACCCAAGCACAGTTGTCAGGTTGCTTGTCTCATGCTGCTCCCAGCTTTGTTCTCCCTTAATCTCAGCTCCCAGGCACTGAGCCCAGGTAGGAGCTGAGCAGACCCTGCTGAGCATGAACTTGTGTTTCATTTGCCTCAAGGGCTACTATTAAAATTCCCCATGGCTTTGATCAGTACAAAATGGAAAATCTGTTTGCAGCAGATTAGAGAGCCAAATCAGGCATATTTCCTGCCATGACCTGCTCAAACCTGGTGGGTGAATTCCTCCTGTGTGGCTGTGCTTCAGGTGTCCGCTGTTGTGATTCAGCAAGGAATATCATTGGTTTTCAGAGTGAGAGTTGGGACAAGCAGCCACAGCACCCTGGCATGTTTAAATGTTTTTGTGTCTTCTGCCAGCAAGTGTTCAACTCCCAGTTTATCAGGAAGTGAGTTAATTTTCAGGTTACTAGTCAAAAGCCAATGGTAAATTATCATGGTCTCTCCCATTCCTCTTTCCTCTGTGAACTTCACTGTGCATCTTCTGTTACAAGTTTTCCTGATGAGCTGAGTGGATATCATACCAAAAGTTCTTTTTCCAGTTTCTGTCTGAGTTCAATAATTGAATTTTTTTAAAAATCTTAATACTTTCTATTTTCTTCCCAGATTTAAAAAGATAGTATCTCTTTGTCTTGGGTGGAAACCCATCATTTATTGCAGTTTTCTCCTGGAATATTATTTTACTTTCATTTCTGTGGTTGCATCTGGCAGTGCATGGAAATCCAATGTAATTTTCATATGGAGAAATCTTGACGGCTCTTTTCCCCTCAATGTCAGAGTGCAGCCAAACTGAGACAACGATAACTGTCTAGTACAATGGTTTTAGTAAAGGCTTTTCATTAGTCTGCATTAAAAACATGTTGCCAAAGCTCTTTTCAGCTGGAGAAATTACCATGCTTTTAAAATAATTTGCAACCTCCAAAAGAGAGGAGAGAGACATCTGGCTTCTAAAAAGCAAAAATGAGAGAAGTGTTGAAAGAGTGCAACAGGAAACATTAAGCAAATGCATATTTAAGAGGAGAGGCTGAACTCTGAAGGGTATTTTCATGTTACTGTAATAAAATGGATGAGGAAAAGATTAATCCGTACTGCTCTGTTTTTGTCCTGTTAAATATATTCCTTGGAGTTGAAAAGGAAAGCAGCGTGATCAGAAAGGTTGGTCTGGTTGCCCCATGTGCTGTTTGTCTGGGCTCTTTGGTGTACATGGACTCAAACTGTTTGTTACACACCTAATGTTGTGTCCTTGCTGTTAACCAACTTTGTTCCCAACTTTCCAGCACCCAGGTGACTGTGGAAGAGGTGTTGGTGGCAGGTTTGCCCAAAAGGAACTAAGGTATCCCTGGTTGCTTAGTGCTCTTTAAGGAGAGGCAGACTGCAGCCGGCCACGCAGCCGCTGCTGTTTCACCAGCAGGCTCTAGTCCAGCTTCAGCTCTCTCCTCCGGTCAGCCTGCAGTACCTGTGGTGTGGAGCTCTCTCCTCCGGTCAGCCTGCAGTACCTGTGGTGCGGAGCTCTCTCCTCCGGTCAGCCTGCAGTACCTGTGGCATGGAGCTCTCTCCCCCGGTCAGCCTGCAGTACCTGTGGCATGGAGCTCTCTCCTCCGGTCAGCCTGCAGTACCTGTGGCATGGAGCTCTCTCCCCCGGTCAGCCTGCAGTACCTGTGGTGTGGAGCTCTCTCCCCCGGTCAGCCTGCAGTACCTGTGGCGCGGAGCTCTCTCCCCCGGTCAGCCTGCAGTACCTGTGGTGTGGAGCTCTCTCCCCCGGTCAGCCTGCAGTACCTGTGGTGTGGAGCTCTCTCCCCCGGTCAGCCTGCAGTACCTGTGGCGTGGAGCTCTCTCCTCCGGTCAGCCTGCAGTACCTGTGGCATGGAGCTCTCTCCCCCGGTCAGCCTGCAGTACCTGTGGTGCAGAGCTCTCTCCCCCGGTCAGCCTGCAGTACCTGTGGTGCAGAGCTCTCTCCCCCGGTCAGCCTGCAGTACCTGTGGCACGGTACTGCCTGCCTGCGGCCCTGGAGGCAGCGCTGGGCACGGTGAGGCCAGGGGCTGAGGGACCCAGGCCAGGGCAGGACATGAGCTGGAAACATCATTACAGCAGATACACGGAGAAGGAAAAGGAGAATGAACAGAGGTGTCTTTAAATGGCTTCATTGGATTACATGGCAAGAAAGCTTTTCCTTCTGCTCTTCACCAATACTGGAATAAATGTAGTCACTTTTTTTCAGAGCCGTTAGTCTGGCATCCTCCATGAGGTCAAATTTACTCGAAACTTCTACAGTACTTTTCCAGTGCTACCATGTCATACCTTTTCCAAGGTGACTGATGAAGTAGAGTGCTCCTAGCAGTGTACAAAAACATTTCAGGTATCTAAATTCCTAAGAGCTGGGAATGCTAAGGAAACAAGGCTTTTGTTACAGGAAGAGAGAAATTGTTCTATATTTCTTTGGATTCAGCCAGTGGAAGCCTTTTGGTGTATCTTACTTGGATTTTATGTGAATTCAGCATTGCCGCCCTGCTACTGCACACACGCTTGAGGGGAAAACTTGATATGAGCAGAAAATTGAAGCAAGCCTGCTTTCACTGTTCTTTCATCGCAGGAATGACAAATATCAAGCCAGAGCACAAAAGAATTGCTTTAAACAGAAATTGCCCTATAACATCTAAGCAGGCTGGTTGTTCTGGGTATTTCTACACACAGAGTTTGGGATTTATGTCCCTGTGATGCCAATTCAAGGAATAGCCTGCTCTTGTGCCAATGTGACTACCAAAATAGAAGGTAGCTCTAGCAGTGGGGTATGTGTGGAAATGTACATTGTTTGCAGGTTCCTGTTTGCATTTAGAAAAGTTGAAAGGCTGTGTACTAGAGTCCTTGTCAAGGTGCCACATGGATGTGTGGGTGTGCTCAAGGATTTGTTCTCCTAGCACAGATCACTCCGGACACTTGCAATGTGCTGCCAGTAAGTGTCATTGCATAGACAGCCAGGTTAGGGTTACTGCCTTAATGTCTGATCTTCGGTTTTAAATAATGATTTCTTGTTTTGAAAGTGCTTGCAAATATATGTCAACTGACCACCTTTTAGAAAATACCTATAACCATTTCAGAAGTAATTTTAAACTTTGCCTTTCTTTTACTTGCAGGTGCACAGAACAAGATCTGCACTTCATTGAGAGCTAGAATGACTTTTCTTGATCCAGAGCCACATAGAAGGAACAAAACTTGCCCAGAATTTGTTGTTGTCCTAAATGAACTCGTGACAGACTTCAGGGTAGAATGAGCAAAATGGGAAACATTTTGCTCAATGCGAGAGTTTCCCCTGTGAGGGTGAGACTGTGTTGATTTCATCTGGTTCTGACTCTTTAAAAATCATTCATTTACTGCTTGAGAAGCTCAGCAAATCAGTTTTGTCTCCACTTGAGAAATCCCTCAAGACACTTGCCTAACACAGAAGACAACATGGATGTTAAAAATGTAGTTAAATCCCAGGCAACTTTTTCCTGCCTGAGGGATTTGTCAGAGGATGGTGATGACCTGCTTAATTTTAACGGTGTGGTTGATGTTGCTGCTGGAAGAGCGGAGGGATACAGCAGCAGACAGGTGCCTTCTCACCCCACAGATGTTACCACTTGTCACAGAGGCAACTGTTACCTTAACGCTGGAGACTCTGGATCTCCTCAGTCTCTGGCAGATGTCCAGGCACGTAAAAGGGCTGGGCTGGGCAGACCTCTAACCAGGAATTCCCTGCTGGATGAGCAGGCAGACACTTTCATAGGTAATGTCACAGATTTTGAAAAAGATGACTCTGAAAATTCTGCCACTGTTCTGGAGATTTATACAGAGAAAGTAACAAGTGTAAATGATGACTTTTCTGATGATGATCTGGAGTACTTTGAATGTTCAGATGTGCTGACAGTGCATGAAGATGAAATCTGGAAAAAGAAATTGCAATTTTTATTAGAAAGTGATGATGAAGATGATCTAAAACTGAGTAAGGATTGTGATGGGTGTGCTTACTTCCTCAGTGAAATGCCTTGTGTGTTCCAAGTGTCAGATAACACTACGCCTATGGATACCCCCATTGGCTTCTGTGAGCATCAGTCAAAAATCAAAGGAGTAAACGTAAGAAGAGACCCCTCTATGTACAGCCAGTCAGCTCCTCAGACAGAGATGACTCTCACTGTTGGACACCACCGAGATAAAAGTACCATTTTGAAAGACAAAGAGGAGAATCAAGTGCCTGTTGCTTCTGCAGCCACTGGAAATGAACATCTCAGAAGTGAAGAAGAGACTAATGGAAGTGGCCATCTGGCTGCAAGTTCCTCAAAGGACGAACCAAAGCCCACGGACACTGCTCCTGCACAGGCAGATTCCTCTGCCATTGGCATAGGTACTGCTTGCACAGATCAGGCTTCGGGGACAATGACAGAAACCAGCCCCGACGGGGACGTGCTGGGGGAAAGCTCACTGCTGCTGGAGGAGGGGAGAAGGAATGTGCCAGAGGGAAATGCACAGCACACTCCCTGTACCTTAACAGAAAGTCTGAGGAGAAACCTTTTCAAGCTGTTAAACCCTATAGAGCTTTGCAGATATGTAAGTACTCTAGGACAGTCTTTCCAGGCTGCAGCAGCAGGTAGGGAATCCAGAGCTCCGTCTCCCAGTCAGGAAGGCGTCTGTTCAGCACAGATTCCTGAGGAGGCAGAAAGCATGCAACTGCAGGCTGGGCTGTGTCCAACAGACGAGGCAGATAAAGACAGTCACTGGGAAAGGGAAAGGACTCGAGGGCTGTCTGAGCAAAACCAGATGCCAGATGAGAACATCTCGTTTGGGGTAAGTGACATGTTTATCATTTAACACAAAGAGTTGCTCTGCTGAACTCAATGCAATTTATTCCTGCTTGTCACAAAATAATGTATAATCAAAATTACTTTGAAAGATACTATTCATGTACTTCTGAATGACAGCTACGGCTGGGAGCAAAATCTGGGTTTAGAAAAGGCCCAAGTAAAGCCTAAGCTGTTCTAATTATAGAGTGAGCCTGATAATGGTGAGAGGCACTAATGGGCCTCTGGACAGCTGGATAGGGAAATCTGATACGGAGGCTATTGCACAGATCTTAGCGATGTAATGCCTCTTTCAACCCAGAAAGTTTCTCACATACCTGTTGGTATTTGAGCAGAGAATGTTTTGATTTACTTTCTTTTCAATCTATGTGCAACAAAAAAAAACATCCTCCATTTATGGTGCCGGAAACCTAAACCAAATCAGCAGGGCTTTGCTCTGGTTTTGTAATGATGAAGGGAATTCAATGCAGAGTTTGTGTTACAGAGGTGAACGAAGTGCTGTGATTTTTAAAAACAAAACAATGAAAGGGTTGGATATTACAGTTGAAACATACAAACCAATTAAATGTTCAAACCTCTGTGGTACTCTCCATGTACTTGCGTATTTTATGCTGTTGGTAGAAAATGAGCTGGAGAAATCACTACAGTTGTAGAGACTGGTATGATGCTTTACCAGTTTTCCTAAGTGGGAAAATTAAATCAATATTTTTATTTCACTTTGTAAAGATTCAAGATATATAAATACTATTAAATAATGATATGTCCCAAATTTTTCTTCTTTGAAGGTGTGTAGCTAATTGCACAGAAAAAAACCTATTTGTCACAAAAAGATTTTTCCAGTTGCACATGCTTTTCTTCGTCTGATCATTTGGGCAAAAATATCTCCAAGTTCTGTGTGTAGTGTCACGGTAGAGTGACTTTAATCTTACCACTGGGGTGTCTTCAGCAGTCAAAAATCACTGAATTCTTCTTCCTGAAAAATGCTCATAGGTTTCTCTGGTTTTATGGTATTGGAATAAAATTCCAATCCCATCTGAGGAGCACATGATGTCCTTATGATGGGGAATACGCTTCACTGGAATTAACCTCCTCAGAGCTTCCTGACATGGTGTATGGCCGTGGTTTGCCAGAGGCCTAGTTTGCTTTTTTTTTCCCCAAGTCCAGTGCAATAATTTAAATCCCAGAAGTCTCTTAGCCCAGAGCAGCTGTCAGGTGCCTGGCATAAATTTCAGAACAGCCAATTAGACTTTTGCTGTGTGTAGTCAGTATGTCTGCATTTCCATGGCCAAAACTTTTCACTGGATAAAAAATGAGTATTGGTGTACAGAAAAGGATGAGAGCTGGGTGCACACCAACCCCCCATTTTTAAACATGTGTGTATGACAATGAAATTCAGGTGTAGGTTTAAAATTATGTGGTCTTGAAATGAGCCAAGCAAAAGCATCCCATCTGAATACTGCTCCTTTTTTTGGAGCACTAGAAAAATGTGGACAGCTTCTCACAGCACCCATCTAGTAAGCCAGAAACTCCTCAGAAATCCAACTGTGTAATCTAAGAGAGGTAAGAACGAATCTATTGCTGCAAACGGGTTTCTGTAAAAGTACCCTGGGGTGTTTGGTGGAGTCCAGTGTGAGACAGCCCTACGGGAGCAAGGGGAGGGGCTCGCAGCAAACCCCACAGCATACTACGTTGGTAGGGTGTGGTATTTTCCCTGTCTATGTGGGAATCAGGTCTGCTGAGGGGTACAGAGCAGCCACGGGATCAGAGCACTAATGACCCAAGGATTTACACTTCCCCTTGGTACCGAGTGTCGAACTGGAGCAACCTTTGCAGTGTGTCTTGTGCAGCACCTGCTGTGCTGAGTGACTTCTCCTTCCTTTAGATAATTAAGGTGGGAGCCCCTCACTCCTTTCATGACCTCATGGCCTAGGCCCAAGTGAAATTCTTTATTTACCTGGTGCTTCAGAGCAGCTTCTTTAATAATAGGTCCAAGACACCAATGATGCCAGCTGTGTGATGTGACATAGTGCACAGAGAGCCGGGAGGCTTTGCTGGGTGTCACTGGGGAACTGGTCTCTGTTAGCAGTCAGCCAGTACCCTGTCTGTCAGTGTTCAGCGCTCTGTCCCTGTCAGTGTTCAGTGTTCAGCCAGAACCCTGTCCGTGTCAGAGTTCAGTGGTCAGCACCCTTGGGTCGCTGTCAGTGGTCAATGTTCAGCACTCTTGGCACAAGGTGCTGCTGTCACTCCTGGGTTAAAGAGCCATTATTCTGTTGGTTTTTTAGGGTTTTTTTTTTTTTCATATCCGAGCAGCCTGTTCACATAAAATCTGAGACATCCTTGGTTTGACCTTCCCAATGCAAATTTCTGTCACTTTTAGAAAATTTTGAACTGCGTTATCCAAAAAGGAGAGAAGCAGAACTGGCACAGAAGTTCCAGATAATTTGGCATCTGGCTGAGATGAGAGCTTGGTGTTGTAAGGGAACAGTCCAGGCCTTAGCCGTGCCAGAGGGTCTGTAGCTCTGTGTCAGAGCAAGCAGGGGAGTCCTGCTTGCAGTAACTGCAGCATATGATACCAGCTCTGCTCATCCAGTAGGATCTACCCTAGGAATGCCAGTGAACATCCCATTTTGTTGCCCATGTCTTAAGTTTGCTCCAGTCTTTCTCGGGAGACACACCAAGAAAAAATCCCTTGGAAAATCTGTACCGCTTTGGAGTATAGACTCCTGACAACTGTGCATGGTCAGCCTGTTGCTCTATGTTGTTGGCAGAGAACTCACTTTCTGTCCTTTAAAATATTATAGTTCTTCCTCTTTTTCTGCCTTTTGAGCAGGAATAGCAAGATGCTGGCAGGGTGTGCCTGTCAGTCTGCAGGACAAAGCACAGCTCAGGTCTTTTGTTTCACCTGTCTAAAGCAGTTGAAGTAACTACAGATACTGAGGTATTTCAGCTACTCCATGGCAGGTGTGTCATTTAAAAGAGAGTGTCATTTTAGGAAAGAGGAATTTGAGTGGCATTGCATGAAACAGGGAAGTGGCAAGATCCACTAAGGTGGATTGCTGGAGAACAATGTGAAGTAAAAGCAGTCCCAAATGTAGTGGATTTTGAGGGAGCTGAGACCCAAAGGTAGTGATGTACTTTTAGTCTGTATTCTAGGAACTGTTTGTTACACTCCATTTGTGCAAACAGAGGGATATAAATGTAACATGGGGACTTTACTTGTAAAGGAGAATTACCTTGCAAAACTACTTCTGCTTAAAAAACAGCGAGAAACTATGAGGTAAAATTGATTAGCTTAATTACAAATCCTTCTCTAAGGAGCAACACTTTCAGACTCAGACCCAGGAGGTTAATTCAATCCATTATGTTGATATTTACAAGTCACAAACTTGACTATTGACAAATATTTAAAAAAAAGGGGAAAAGTTTAAAAAATTTGCAAGCCTTCAGGCCTGTGTCAAGCTGTAGTTCTAATTTTTAATTACATTGCTCTATTTTCCTTCTTTGAAGAGTCAAGGTGCTAATCTTAAAAGCGTTACCCAGAATTGTGAGAACCTCTGTATGGAGCCCAGAACAGAAAAGGAAGGCATCTTCAGGGCTTGTGAGAGTGCAGGAACCAGCCAGCTCTCTGCTGAAAACACGCTGCAAGTAAAGAATGCAGATTTACAGACCTCTTCTCTTCACTGTGCTCCTTGTGAAAAGAGAGAAGGTTGTCACCAACAGGTCTTCTCCAGACAAGAAAGTATTAGGAATGGCAAAAAGTCAAAGATTAACATTTCCCCTTCTCTTCTATGGGATATGGACTCTCTTCCTGATAAACAGGAATGCTTGTGTGCTGTTTTCTCTTCTGCAAAGCTGTGTGATGAGCCAGGGGAGGGAGAGCAGAGGTCTGGGCTTGACACACGTGGTAGCAGTAACCCAGATATTCTCTGCAGCCGATCAGCCAATGAAGCTGCATCTGAAGCTAATCCCAAATCAGTCCTGGAATCTGGAGAACCTGAGTGCAAAGGAGATGCTGATGTATCTGCAGTGCATGACAAGCTGTGGAAACTTCTTCATGAAGATGACTCAGACTATCGAATTCCATTTGAAAACAGAGGCATCCCAAGTTTAGGTACGAGGCTGACAGATATCCAAGTCACAGAACTGAATTTTGTGCAGGAGACCTGTTCTGATCATCCTTTGCCAGCGGATTTGATAGAAGAACAGGAGCCCATCACAGAACCAGCTTGTAACCCCAGAACTGAGAAAGCTGACTGCAATATTTCTGATATCCTCCTGCAGAGAGCTGCAGCATGTGAGAGTGCATCCATAGGAAATATTTGTGTTGCACAAGTGGTAGGAACAGATGGTGTCTATCTAAATTCTGGCACTGGGAATGAGAGGGAAACACCATCCATTTGTGTTTCAGCAAGCAGTGTCCTCCTAAGTACCCAAGAGTGCTTGGAGCCAAATCCAATGGCCACAGACAGGAATGGATCCACTGTGGCTTGGGAAGGGAAGCTTGCTGTTAATAATGCTGCCCAAACATGTGAAGCAGATTCTTCTCAAAGGTTACAAAATACTCAGAGTGGTAATTTAGCATGTCCCAAATCTGACATATCAGGTATGTCACAGGAGACAGCTAGACAGTTATTTCACACTGAATACAACATAGCCATGACAAATGAGTCTGTACCTGGAGAAGGCTGTCATTTTACGGACTGCTATCCAGTGAGAGGAGAACTGGCTTATTTCCCTGAAAAGGGAGACATTTTCCCCGGTGAAAATACCTGTCAGTTTACACATGCAGAACAGTCTTCTGTTAACACCATACATAAAAGTTGTGTAGTAAATTTACAAGAAAAAGGAAATCACTCCGGCTTGAGTGCACCAAATTTCACTAATTCTGACAGCTACCATCTTTCAAAACATAATGGCTGTCAGGATTTTCAAAATGTTTCTGATGCACAGATATACAGTAATGTAATGCAATTGCATAGTTTAATTCAGATTAATGAAACTGTAAAACATAAGAATCTACCCCAAAATAAAGACCAACTGACTGAAATAGCAAAACAAGAAGGGGCAGTCCCTCCCCCTTCTGGGGAGCCATTTTTAAGAGATTTTTATCTTGAAGTGTCCAGCTGTGAACCATGTAAACCAGGAGAAGAACAGAGAGAGATTTGCATACCTGGGGAACACAGGGCTGAAGCTTCCTTTGACTCAGGAGTTAGTCAGGTTTCAGAGAGTCAGACTGCAGCTTCCCCTTGTAATACAGCAGAACAGCATTCATTTTTTGTTGACAACACCTTCAGGTCTGATGAAGGGTTAAAAATAGATTCTTCAAAAAACCCCACCTATGCAGCTGGAAGTGTAACATCAGCCAGTGTCCTGCTCCCCAGGGAGGCTCAAAGTGAGCACCACAGCACAGCCAGTGGGGATGATGGAGGTTCCTGGGATTGGCTACATTCCCAACAACTGCTTGGAAACAAAATCCTGCCCTTCCTCACAACTGTAAGCCACTCAGAGGGCCTTCCCAGTGAATCTGCAGTGGCGTGTTCTGCCACAAGAAATGAGGGGAAAACTGTATCCATACAAAGTGGAGTTGAAGTAAACGGAAATTTAACTACATTGGAAATTTCCTGCAAGTCATGGAAGGGTCTGTTCCAGAGGGTCTCTGGAGAAACCAAAGGGGAAGCAGACTTGTGTGAAAATGAACATGAGATTCCAAGAGCTATTGACTATAACCCAGATGAAGCTGAAGCAAAGGCTCCTTTGCACACTTTGACTGGGTCCCAGGCTCTGAAACAGATTATGAATATTAGCACAGAGCAGTCTTGTCCTAACTTGATCCCTTCCAGCAAGATAGCTGAGGCTGAGAATTCGATTAAGTCCACAGAGTATGATAAAAAGGAGGAAGTCAGGATAGCAGAGAGTGAAGTAAGTGGTTTAGTTAATTTGCCACCAGTTGATTCAGGGAACAACCAGTGTTTTCAAGAGCAACCACCCCACAGAAGAGCTCTGTCATTCCCTTTGGCACGGACCACACTTGATCCATTCCCAGTCAACACAGAAAGTCAAAGAAATCAGGAAGGGTCAAAATCCTGCCGGATACCAGTGGCTGCTTCAGAGCCTGAGCCCATCAAATGTAAAGAGGACACAACAAAGAGCGGGCATGTAGCTGCTGGAGCTAAGAAGAAATTATCATCAGCAACTCTGTCCAAAAAACCCAGGCTGGAGGAGAGGGGAAGTGTCAGCAAGGATCCCAACTGCGTTAAAAAGTCTGGGAAGAGCGAGGGAGGTGTGGTTCATAAAGAGGAAAGAAAAGAGCAAAGGAAACTAATTTTGAAAAAGGATAGCAAAGGTAAGAGAAAATGGATTTTCTTTTTTGTCCTTTCCCATCATTCTGGCTACAGTACAAAATTAAGATTATTGAAAGGCACTGCAAGCCTCTTTCAGACTGACTCAGTCAGCTAAAGGTGTCCTCCCCTCATGGAGCTTTATTTCCAGATTTAGTAATGAGTGCTATGCCCATACCACAGAGATGAACCCTTTTCCCAGCCGGCAAGTATATTCAATTCATGAGCTTTGTAACCTATTTGAAATAATCACTGCCTCACTGGCTTCTTGGAGTAACTTTTCACAGATAAACAGCATAATGGTACCGCATAACTACACACCACCTAACAGCTGCAAGCCCACTACTTATTCTGTTCCCACAGGGCTGTGTTCCCAGTTATGTTCCTGCATTGCAGCTCCCAGCTGCAATTCTCCCCTCTTGGTTACCAAAGGATTTATTACTAGCAAATTGTTATTGTTATCAATAGGGTACCGCTGATATCAATGTTTTGAGGTCCTGTGTACTGACTTCTGACTGGTTCTGCATTGCTTTGCCCTGCTGCAAAACTGACATTAACAAAAAGAGCAATATTAAACTGATGTAGGAAACCAATAATTGAAAGGCGATCCAGGTTGCTGTCAGAGTCTCTAGAGGGGTGCTAACACTGTAGCAGGATTGTGACTGATGGGCAGATGAGGGATTTGTTGTTTCTATGGGTAGTTTGGAAGGACCAAGGTCTTATTTTTACCTTTTGACATGATATTTCATGTTCACATCATAAAATTATTTAATAGGTCAGAGCAAGACTGAACAGTGACTAAAGGTAAGCTACACATTTGTGTAGCTTTTCACACACTCTAATTACTGTGCGGTCTTGTGAGACTTCTGCTTTTTCTAATTGCAGTTAAAAGAACCCCAGACTTTTCTCTGTTCAAAGATGAGTCCTTTGCCAGGGAACCAGATGTGTGGGAGGAGAGACACATTCCTTCAAAGCAAAGCAAGCAAACTGCAGTGACTGTGCAATGCCTGACCTGTTTCCATTACTTGAGGCTACACTTGCAAAATGTTTTAAACATTCAGGCTGCATCAGATAACACTGAATTTTCTTCACCTATTTCTGCTCTGCCTCAGTCTTGACTAGAGCACAGTTGTGCCCCTTTGCCTGGCATTATGGGAAGGCTAGTTTGGTTGCTGTGGAATATACTCAGTGTTATTTTGCATTATTTCAGCTGCAGGAGAGAAGACTAGCCAGGGCAGGAACCTGGAGCCATTAGTTCTATTTCTAGAGCTGTCAGGCCCTGTCTGTGTCACTTAAGCCCTGATACAGCGAGGTTCACATGGCCCAGGACTCAGAGACTGCCAGTGGGGAGACCTGGACTGGATGGGGCCTGGAACTGGGAATGGGGAAAACCGTGGCAGTGTGCCTGACCCTTTAAGTTGGGTGTTACTGGAATAACCCTAGTACACAGTAATCTGCAGGCATGGGATCCCTGAGGGACACATGCCATGCTACCTCATTCAGAGTGCAACAGCTCAGAATTAACACAGTTGGAAACAAAACATCTTGCATTTTATCTCTCTTACATCGAGCAGGGATGTGTCATTTGGGGTGGGGCTGCGTTGTGATCCCAAAACCTTTCTCTAAGTATATGTCGATTCCCTTTCTTTCCAAGTCCCCTCCAGCCCCCTGCGCACACCTTGCCCATGTGCAAAGATGGAGTGTTCTGTGAGGCAGTGAAAAGTCCCAGCAGAGATCCAGGCTGGCAGGACCTTTTGGGACTTCTTCCCAGGCTGTGATCAGATAAAAAATTGTACTAGGTTTTAGTATTGAGACACAAGAAGTCATAATTACTTACCAGGGATTTCAACGTTCATGTTCTTAACACGAAATGTTAAAATGCCAAAACAATGTAATTGTCTCCAAATCTTAAGCTGTGGTTCTTCTGTTTCAAGCCCCCAGGCTGCTGAAGAAGATCCAAGCAGAGTTATTCCCTGACTGCTCTGGAAGTATTAAGCTGTGCTGTCAGTTTGGTGACATTCATGGTGACTCCACCATTACATGGACTAAAGATTCCAAGGTACTGGCTCGGCTGCAGAGAAGGTAAGGGAATGTTTCTGAAGGACTGGGAGTTTCAGGGTAACTTTGCTATTCGTAGGAGGCAGATCTTCTCACAATGCATTGATAATGGTCACAGTTTGTGTTACATCACCTCTCAGCTTGCTCACAGCCAGTGGCATCCAGATTTCAAAAAAATATCAAAGAAGTTTGAACCTCATTTAACCTAGAGAAGGGTGGAAATAAAAGCTTCTTAAGGGCATTAACAGCATCTACCTTTTCCATTTTAATGAAATTAGTTATTTTCCTTGTAGCAGCAATGACATTCTGATCTAAAAAACTGTTTAGAACGTTTCAAAAATACAAAATTAACATTACCCAAAAGAAAAAAAGTAATACATTTCCATCAAAATACACACTTCTGAGAAGATGAAAAAATTTGTAGGAAGGATTCTTCTTAGATGTTTTTTTAAGTGGGGAGAAAAAGTTGTATGAATTAGTTAAACTTTCTATTCTGATTCTTCTTGTTTTAACTCTTCTGATTTTGACTGTTGTATTGCAATATCAATTGTAGTATTAGTACATGCCATTCTCTGCTAAATAATTGTGCTGTGTTTTAACAAATAAACAGTGCAGAGAGAATCAAATTTATCAGTTTTTCCAGTGATAACAAGTAAAATATGTGATAGCACAAAATGCTCTGTTCCAGTGCCCAGGATGACACTCCCGTCTCTCTGGAAATAGCTGAAGCCACTTACCAAGACCAGGGACTGTATTATTGCTGCTTGAATAACATGTATGGAAAGGTGACTGCTGAGTTTCATCTGACTGCTGCAGGTAAGCCTCAGTTTAGAGTTTTGATTAATAATGACAATGACAGTTTCCATTTATAGTTTTTTACTACAAATTTCTTTTTTTTTTTTTTTCCTCCTAGTATTGGAACGTCTCTCAAGTTTTCAGAGTTATGAAGGTAAATACAAAGTGAAGTAGCATTGCATAGCATCATACAGAGACACACAGACGGGCAGCTCTTTGGCACAAACACATGGTTCTTGCAGATCACCTGCTGTGTAACTGTACTCCGGGAGAAAGGCAGGCATGGAGCTTTGAAATGCTTTCCCTGTGTGTTAACTGGTGTTCAGTGACACCTGGCATGTGGCCTGTGCTGCAGCTAAAGATAGTGCCTTGCCAGTGGGGTTGTCATTCCTGAACAGCCTGCAGAGATCCAGGCCTTCAGTTGGCATGGTCACTTTTCTTTCTTTTCCTTGAAGAATTAAAATTAAGCATTTATTTCCTTGTGCAAAATAAAGACAGGACTTTTCAAGTAGCAGCAGTGTATAACTTTTAATCAGAGAATTTTAGGTGGAATTAAAGAGTGTTCTAGTTCTGGCCTTATCTGTGCAGTGCTTCCTCTCTGCTTTGAAAAGAGGTAGTGTACAGAGGCTAAACCAGAGGTAACTGGAAGGACTTCCTTATGTTGTAGTTCTATTCTCCTGTTTATCTTCTTTACTAATGGTCCTTGAAATGTTATTATTAGAGACACTTGAAGTGCAGTTAGAATTTTTTAGTTTCTCTCAGTGCTTAACTTTTTTCCCCCTTATGGTTTTTTTTGCATTTGGATTCCAATGATCATTTAAAGGGGTGAAATCCAGAGTCTTCCTTGATTTCATCTGTAACAGACTTGTTCACTACACTCTGTTTTCTCTCCTTTTGATCCTGAACTGCGACCTTTCTCCATGCTGGCTTTAGATCATACGGGCAAGCAGCTGCCTCTTAGGAGCTGCTTGGGGTCCCAGTCCTCAATAATACAATTTGTGCTTCCACTGAGCATTGTTTTCCTCCTCTCTGGAGAGATGTATCTGCTGTCCCATGCCCACCCCTCCCTGTGCCTGCAGAGATTCCTGTTATGTTTTAGGTGTGGAAGAAATCGAATTCATGCAACTGATGTTCAGAGAAGATCCCCTCAGCTCCAGCTACTTTGGTGGGACACTGCATGGAGCAATAATGACAGAGGGGCTGCACTTCGGCGAGGGGATGCACCGCAGAGCCTTCCGCAGCCGCGTGCTGCAGGGCCTGGCACCCGCCTTTGCCCCTGGCCACCCCTGTGTGCTGAAGGTGCACAGCGCCCTCACCTATGGCACCAAGAGCAGGGACGAGCTGCTGCAGAAAAACTACACTCTGGCACTGCAGGTGAGCTGCCCCTGGCCTTTGTAATCCAGACCTGTGGGCCAAAGCTGTCCTCATGTTCAAACAGATGATCTGTTGAATGTTTTGAGCAATATTCCCATAGGCATGTCTGTTGTAATACAGGAATGCTATGTCCAAAATACTGCAAGAGAGTATGCAAAGTTATATGCAGCTGAAGCTGAACCCTTGGAAGGCTTTGGAGAAGTACCAGAGTGAGTATAAATATATATTTTATATACATATATGCTTACGTATAGTGTCCTGTGCCATGGCAGCCCACTGATTGCTGGGACTAAAGAGGAAAGAGGAAACCTGGGAACAGAGTTATAGCTCTCCCAGCTTGGTTTAGAGTTGGTTGCTGTTCATTCACTTTCTGAGATCACTGGCCACTTCTGTCTGTTTCTTACCCTCTTACTGAAAGAATCTCAGGATTTTATTAGTTTCTATCTCTTGATTTCAGAATCATTCCGATTTTTCTTATTCATCGCCCTGCTAATAACATCCCCTATGCCACAGTGGAGGAGGAGCTGGTTGGGGAGTTTGTGAAATACTCTGTCAAGGATGGCAAGGAAGTGAATTTCCTGAGAAGAGACTCAGAGGCTGGCCAGAAGTGTTGCACCTTTCAGCACTGGGTGTATGAGAAGACCAATGGGAACTTGCTTGTCACTGACCTGCAAGGTGAGTTGTCTGAGTAGTGGCAATTTTTATCTAGCTTATGTTCTTGTAAGAGGGCAGTTTGGAAAAGAAAACTAAATCTTACACTCTTAATGGAGGAGTTGTTCTTTCACATGTACCTTAGTGAATCAGGACACTCTGTATGAGCCAAATCTGCCTTTTTGTCTCACCACCCAGCGATTAATGAAATAGCTGCTGAGTGAAAGACTTCAGGTGTTAATAACACCCTAGTCCTCCACCTTTGCTTGTATTTGAATACTCACCAACAATCACTCACCAGTGGAATGCTCCACATTTGGGTCCTGGCTAGTTTTGAAGAAATGTATTCCTTCAAAAGGAAGAATAGTGAAGAAACACCCTCGTGTTTGCTAAGTGCTACTTCAGCTCCTGTGGGTGTGACTCTCTTCAGTCCTGCAGTGTATTTGGAACGGGAAGACAGAAGAAAAAGCTGGAATCTTAGGAAATATCCTATATTCTTTTACATGTGAAGGCAGGAAAAATAGCAAAAAGGCATCTAAACAAGATCCCTGAAGTAATTTAAAGGGAGGAGAAAGAACAAAATCCTAGCACAGGAAACAAGCTGTGCTGTTGATCACCCTGACAGCTTTAAAATAGTGGCATGAGCCTGACTTCTAGAAACTGCTGGTGACACAGAAAACATCCTCTTCTTAACTGGGGTGCTTTAAAATGCTTTGAAAAAAATGTGACAAATAATTAAAGTAAAAAAGGTGACTCAATAAATAATATTTAATGCCTCCATATGTGAATATTGTCCCCGAAATTCCAGTGTAAGCTAAGGGCTGTGTTTTCCTTGCTGCCTTGCAGGTGTAGGGATGAAGTTAACGGATGTTGGCATAGCAACCCTGGCCAAAGGGTGAGTGAACGTGATTTCTCAGCAGCACAGTTGTGCTTTACTCATCTGTCTCTTCACAGTTAAATGTGGAGGGGGGAGGGTGCATTGGAAATTCATTCTTGCTTTAACTTTAGAAGAAAACAGTCCTTATTTAAGTGTTTTAACTTCTTTGTGTTCATATTTATGGAAACCCACCTGTAGACGAAACTTTTATTTTGTTATGAAAAAATGGGGCTACCCTGTAGTCGAGCTTTGTTTTACCTGCATGCCTCCCATGAAATGGGTTTGTCCAAAGGGCATTTCACAAGTGACATGAAGGGTTCTGGTGACAGCAGGTAAGGCTCCTGGTGGTCCATCGGCTGGAGGAAGGTAGGGCTGAACACGCAGGGCCAGCACTGGCTGCAGTCTGCGGTAAAAGGCAACCTGGAATCCCTCCTGCAGCCAGCAAAAGTGCCAGAACTTTGGGATATGTATTTGTGACACAAGCTTTTATAAAGACTCTTCTCAGTGGCATGTTGTGTATTGGCCACTTCCTTGATAAACAAGGACAATTGTGAAGGGATTTGATGGCATCTCTCCCCTTTCTCTCTCACAAGCAGCACTTCTGAGTCTTAACAAAAGATTATTCAGGGCATTTCTAGAGCCTGTTTTCTAGTGGTGTTGCAAAAGTTTCATCTCTTTTGAGGAAACTTAAGCGTATGTGTAAAGATGTAGGCCTGTCATATTCTAACTTTAGTCCACTTCTCTTAAGTTAATTAAGGCTTCTAGTTATAGCACAGGCCAGCAGAGCTGTGGATGGGAGTAGGCAGTGGCTGCTGGACAGGGAAGGGGGATGAGGATAAGTGATTTAATTTCATATTCTCCTTTGAGAATCTGGCAGGAGAAAGAAGATCTGATCATGTGTTCAGACTTTATTCTAAATTGGACTGTGTCTGTATGCCCGGGATACAAGAAGAAACCTCACAATATCATCCAAATTATTAAAAATGTGACTCTAGAATATTCTGGGAGAATCTTGAACATTTGTAGGCTGGTATCTATTCAGTTAGACTGATTTACTCTTGCAGCTGTGGATCCAAAGTAAAAGCAGTTGAAATGAATGTACATCATCCTGTTACAAATCAAAAAAGTAATAACTGTTTTAATTAGGCAACACTGTTCTCAGGAATCAGATTTATAAAAATGCTTCAGTGAATGTTGTCTAGCCCACTGTGGGAAATGATTCCTATAAAAACACACATTGTGTTGGGGAGGAGGAAGTGAGCACACAATGCAAGCTGTAGTAAGGATCACCTCAGGCATATAGAAAGGAAAATAATTTCCCTAAATGAATAACCTCCTGAAAACATTGCATATCATTTTGCTTGTTATTTAGCTAATGGTTTTCCTGCAAGATGACAGGTTTTTCCTGGTCCTGTATTTTGTTTTCATGCTCCTTTTCTCGAAAGAAGATCTCTGAATTAATGTCTGCAGTTGGTTTTTTAATTCTATGAACATGGTTGGGGAAAATCAACTCAGTGCCCAGAGCTCCTGTGTGTTGCTGGGTCTTGCTGCTTTGGGCTGTGTTCAGCTGAGCTGCTGAGAGCTAACCTTGTCCCATGAAGGGAGAACATATGGTTCTACTGAGCCAGAAACGCAGAGTGGGACTGGTGTAGCTTGAACTATGCTGGCAGAGGGGACACAGAACATATCTCTTCTGTACTCCAAAACAGAGTCCGCGATGTGTGGAGGAAAGAATTTTGATCTTTTGTTCTTGCTCTGTGTGTTTTGCCAGGGATCTGGAAAGCAGAGGAGCCCAAAGCAGTGGTGTGGTCAGTATGCTGCAGGAGCTGCGCTGCAGTTCTGTCAGGAGAGGGCGAAGTGGAGCTAGGAACAGGATCGCCAGGGAAGCATTTTCAGAGTGGCCACAGTGCCACTCCTGAGCCTCAAAATCACCTACTCTGTAGTTTCTGTGGCGAATGGAAACAAAAATACCATAGTACAGTGCTTGGCTCTGTGCACGCAGTGTGCTTGAGGGCCAAGGGATTTATTCAGGAATGCTGCACACAAAGGAGGGAATTAGGAGCAAAGTAACCCACGGTTATGGTCATTAACGGGAGGGCTGGTTGCCAAGTCTGGATCTGAAACTCTGCCTGGTTCCAAGGCACTGACAAGTTTACTCCACATGGTAACAAGAGGCATTGAGGAGTTTAAGCCTGAGGGCAAACCCAACGTTTCCCCTTCAGATTTAAGGAAGATTTGGTTTGGTTTGGTTTGGTGCTGGATATAAGAAATTCCCTTGCTGAGGGCAGGTGTGTTTGCCTGTGGCATTCATGTTCTGTGGGTGTGCCTGGTGCATCCACCAACACAACACATATCTGTGAGCTCTTGAGAGCAGCTCAGTAAAGTCTGACGTCTCTGATTTCTCCAAGGGAGCAAGAGAACCGTTGATGACCCTGCTGGACTCCAGGATATAGTCTTGGGTTAAACAAACACACAGCAGACATCCACAGAGGAGGGGGAAATCCCTTCGAAGTTCACCTGCTGTTCAGAGCCAGCTGAGTGGGGTCTCCAGAGTAGGGTCTGTGTCAGCAGGAGCCTGACCTTCTCAGAGCAGCAGTATTCTCTTTAGCACTGTGCAGTCTGCCTGAAGAAGGAAGTTCTCTGGATGCTGGGAATGAGCATCCTCTGTTCATTTCAGACCTAAATCTTGTTTGGTTGGTTTTGTGTAGTCACAACTCACAGTTCACCTCTGAGGACACTGGATGTCCAGCAAACCAAGAGAACAGGGTAGAACAGGGTAGAACATGCACTGATTATGGTTAAAATAGGAGAGGAGCACCCTGGCCTTTCTTTTCCCTTCTCCATCCTGAGAATTTAACCAAAAAGGCTCCTTTGAAGACCAGGTGCACCTTTTAAAGTAAGCTGATGCAGCCTAAAAAGCAGGCCCAGGAAGACTGTCAGCATCCAGAGGCACATTGAGAAGAGGGATGCATGTGCCCTGTACCTCTCATGGTAGGAAGTACAGTGGAGGCTGGATGAGACTGCCTTCGTCAGGAACATTCCTTCCATCCTTCCCTGAGGGGCTTGGCTCCTTGAGATCCCCTAGGCAGCCAGGGGAGGAGAGCAGCATAGCAAGGAAATTATGTACATGTCTAGATGGAAACAGCTTCTAGTTCTGAAACACCTTGTGCAACACAACATTGTCTCTTCATGGTGGCCAACAGAACTGTTCATAGAGAATGCTGTAGCATGGATTTCATGTGTGTTACTGAGAAAGGTAGCCAGTAGACTATTTTATTCCCAACTTAATGCCATGAAAGACAGTGCCAGGACCCAGCCCACAGAGCTTTGCTTCTAATGCTTTTCCCTCTTCTGTCACCACTTGTTACCTGGTTCCTCTTACCTCCCAATGACCCAGTCTGAGTTTCTGTGGCAGTTGATGCTTCTCAAGCCAGCATGGCTACAAGAGACTTGCTTAATGTTTTCAAGTTGCTTATGAGTCAGCAGTCATACTCTGCCTCCCTGTGCTGAAAATGAATCTTGAATTCCCATTTTTTTTTTCCTTTGTTACTACAGATACAAGGGGTTTAAAGGCAACTGCTCCTTTTCCTTCATTGAGCAGTTCAGAGCCCTCCACCAGTGCAATGAGTACTGTGAGATGCTGGGGCTGAAATCTCTCCGAACTACTCATCAAAAACAGAGGAGAACAACATCCACTAAAAGCAAAAATCTGCCAAACTCATCAACAGTAAAGAAAATGGTGCCCAAGAAGGCAAGAGAACCTAGAGACTTCATTTATTCAGAGCACTGAGTCTCACTATCCCACCTTGTGAAACTACTCTTGAGGACATGGAGCAGTGACATGCACCAGTGACCCGAGGGGATAACTTTAGTCTTTTGCCTTTTGACATTGTTTTGGAGTCGTCCTGATGCTGATGTCAGCAACAAAGGAAAGAGATGATCCTGTGCTCCTGGTGCCTGAGATTTAACACTGGGGCAAGGTTCTGAAAACAAACTAAGCCATCTTCTGGATTTCCTTACAGGCTTCTGTGGACTGGTATTGGAGAAGAATATCTCTGTGTCCACATCCATGGCCCTGTGGTTCAGCTGCTATGGAAACATCAATATATTTAAGATGCCAAGTACAAGTTTTGCACAGTATTGCATATGCATATGCATGCTGGGTTACTTAGAAGTCAGGAAAGGTGGAGTTTGGAACACACTGATGAATATTAAAGTTACCACTTCCATTGCAAATCAGAGCATAACATCCTTTGAGCCTAAGTCTTGGACTATTCAGTGGGATTTAGGCTTCTCAGTGCACTGCTGGTACCTGGCTTTCTTTAGGCCTTTGGAAGTTCCTACAGATGATGCCTATTCTTTACAATAGTGTTCAGAAGAATTTCTGTGAGGATATTGTGACTGTTCCCAAAACAGGAGGTTTAGAACATAAGGCAAGGGGCTTGAGTGTGGTGGGATGGAAACAAAGCTAAAAGCCTTGGATAAATGATGTTTTAAGTCAGAGGCAATAGATTTTTATCAGAATTTTGGGAAGTGTTCTGTTCTAAAAATGCCATGAGCATCTCAGCTAATTAATACTCCAAATGTATGTTGTAGTTTGGTCCCAAAGTCAGAGATGGAGTTTCACTCTATTGGCTAATTGCCTTCAGTTTTATTGTCCTGGTCAGTTCAATGAAAATCACTAGCTGACCTCTCAGAGGTAAACACAGCCCTATTAATGCCAAGGAAATCCACATTCCTAATGATGACAGTATAGTATAGTGATGATTCCTTAAGATGTCTGGTGTGCTTTACAGTGGGGATCTGGAAGTGCATGTGTGAGAGTATGGATTTCTCTCATATTCTGGTGCTTTTGCCTCTAAAAGGACTCCTCCTTTTAGAGTCATCCTGCTGTGCATGTACCACAGTTGTTTATTCCTCAGCACATAGGAAGATGTACTACCAGAGGTCCCAAAGCTTCCTGACCCGATGCCTTGTCTGCCAGGAACTATTTAGTGTGATAATGGCGTTTGATAGATGGACACAAACACCATTGTCACACTCCACAGCTCTGGGAGCAGGAAGGTCCTTAGCCTGTGGAAGGAGTGATGGAGGCACACCGCGGACTTCAGCAGAGGGGGTCTCAAAGACCTGCAAAACAGACACGAGAGCAGGTTTGTGCATATTTATGTATGGCACACTGGGGTCCTCACAAGGAGGCGGGACACAGGATCCTGAATTGGTTTGAGTGAATATTGTGTCTCTGCTAGCTGTGGGAACATAAAAGCTAAGTGGCTTTGAGTGCCCTTACAGACAAGGGAGATGGACAGTACCTGAGAAAGTAATCTGTACTGTTCTGGAGGCAAATTCCTGACAAAAGGGATGAGTAATTTCTGCAAGGGCTTGTGTCTTCCTCTAAGTGCTGGAGTCAGCCCAGAATCAGCATCAGACTTTTATAGCTATGTCAGACCTGAGGCATCACAATGCTGGGGATTACATTTGATTTTCATATACTTGTTTTTAGCAGCATTTTTGAGTAGCCCACATATAAGACAGTCAAGTTGGGCTGTATCCTGGTCCCGCTGCCCCTGTGCTATTCCATGATGCTCTTCTGGGACACCTCAGCACTTGTGCATCAGGGAATTAAGCTCTAGGGTCCATAGCTGTGGTGCTCATCTCTGCACAAGCTGGGTGTTTCAGAGTGTTTCTCTCTGTGTTTAGCCTGCTAGCCAAATAACATTTCTGCACCCTCTCAGTGAGTAGAAAACATCCCGTAAAAGATTATGTGGACTAGGGAGTGGATTAAGAGCACACAAGCATGCTGCACAGGGATTTGTAACCCATGGAAATTCAGTTATATGCCATCATCACATCTGAATGCTGCAGAGAGGCAGAGAAAACAGAGAAGGAAGAGCACGTGGAGGGGGGAGGTTATAAACCAAGGCTGGGGTGGACAGCAGTAGCTTTTATTTTTTGTAAGTACTGAAAATTGAACTTTCTGGCTCAAAAGAGAATCCCCTGTGGACTGGTTAGAAGCCTCTTGGGAGGGGATGCAGTTGTCTTTTTGTGCCAAAAGATGAGAATGAGATATTTTGCTGAAGTGCTTTTACACTCCCCTCTCATTTATTTTTAAGCTCAGAAATGCATTCCCATTTTATGTACTGGGGAGAATTTGCTCCCCATGTGTAGTAAACCCAGACTCTCCAATAGTCTTCTGGATCTAGTTCTGCTTTGGCAACAGAGTGTTAAAAAAGTTAAAGCCCTCAAAAGGCTTGTCCTCTGAGAACTCCTCCCTGGGTTTAGCCTTCTCAGCAATCCCTTTTTGTGAAGGGAGCACAGAGCTCACAGATCAACCCACTCAATTCTATAGCATCAAATGTCGAAGTGCCTGCACAGAGGTGATATCAAAGTACCCAGATGAGCTGCTGCCCACCTGTACTGACACACCTGAACCACCAGCCTGCTCTTCACAGTGTAACAGATCACCCTGTGATCTAACTTTATATTTTACCTGGATCTTCTTCCCAATTGTAATATAGTTCAACCAGTGTTGATAGGTCAGGGCAGACTTAGTAGGGCTCTGGATCGGTTTAATTCTTGATTTACATGTAATCAAACCTCAGGGGAGGGTTTGTGATAACTCAGTGCCACAAGCTGGCAGTAGAAACTGGGTTCTGAGTGCCCTTTGCTGGTGGATAGAACAGCAGAGAAATGGAGCTTCAGTGTCTGGTTACCAGATCAGGCTGTTTCATTTCTCCAGTGTGATTATTACAACAGTAATAATCTGGCATTCCCATCCCTGCCACAAAAACAATCCTAGAAATGCTCGGGCATGGCTGACATCCAAGGGATTTTCATGTCCCACTGGTTCTGTCTGTGTTTTGAGTCTGTAGTGTTGCAGTGGGACAGAGCTGAGCATTTGAACACACACACAAAGCAGGCAGATGTGCAGATCCACATGTCAGGCTCCTATGCAGTCCCAGCTATGAAGGAGACATCTCTGAAAGAAGGAGACGAGCTGCAACACACCCTGAGCATCCCATGGCACTGATTCTTTGGAATTAATGATGGCAAAAACCCAGTAATGCCAGAACATTCTGTCAGTAAGGATGCAGCTCTAGCCCTGAGGTCCACAGGGCTGGTTTTGGTAAATGTGCCTATGCTGCAGCTGGTGACAGTGAGAAATGAATGCCAAAGGGACAGACGTGCTGTACCTGGCTTTCTAATTCACCTCAGTGTTGGTGTCTTCCCTTACCTTTTCTCATATGCATTTTACTCAGCTTTCTCTCTGCAACAGAGAGGAAGGATCTTGCAAATTCCTACTAAAGAAGCTCCCTGAGGAAAAGCCTGGCAATCCTGTGCAGAGCAGGAAAGCCCAGAAATCCTGACAAAAGGACTTGACTTCACTGCAGAACACATAAGGAGAAAGCAAGGCAGCTGATGCCACTGCAAACAGGCAATTTTTAGTCCCTCAGCTATGTGGAAGCTTCCAGCAAATCAACAGTAATATTTCCAAGACAAAATATCATGCAAGAAAGAGAAATGGCACTAGTTTTTAGTACTGCAAGGGGAAAAAAAACCCCAAAGTAATGGGAAAGTTACAGGGAGAAAACAAAGCATAAACATCAGAGAAAAAAAATCCCCTTTTTGCTTCTCTTCTGCTGGACATCTGTGTAAAGAACATCATTGGGATGTTCCAATGCAGAGAGCATTGTGAAGAACAAATGGGTTTTCAAGAGGTTTTTTGGAGGTGGGTTACAGAACCTGTCCTTCCCACATGGCCAGACCTGGAAGCATTCCTGGTCCCCCAGAAAGTTTCCCCACCACCCCATTTCTTAAAAACAATAAACAGGGTGGTTTGCCCTACCCTAACAAAAGCCTCATCTCTTTCTAAGTGCAGGTAGAGATCCCTAGGTCCAAGACATTAAATCCTGTTAGATTACACAGTTGAGCCCTGGGCATGTGTGGATATTTCAGTAGGCTGAAGTGCTTAGTGTTGAAAATCCACCTGCACTATTTTATTTTTGTTATTATCTTTTAGCATTTCCTTTCCCTCGCGTGAATTTTGCTCAGGAAGGCACTTACCATCAGAGACAACAGCCAAAGGATCCTCTGGTGTGTTGTTAGGGCTTGGCAGAACTGGGATTCTCTTGCAGGACATTTTGCTGACTGTCTGTACTCGAATCTTTGGAGTCCTCGTTTCTTTTCTGAGTTCACAGCAGTGGGCAGCTGCTGCAAGCCTCTGCTTCCAGTGGACACCTTTCCCTCTCCCTTTATGGGATCCTGAGGTTTTAAAGTAAACAATTCATTCTTGTTCTGATAAGTCATATTAAAATATTGATCTGGGGGAGGGAGATGACCCTCGCTGCACTGAGCCAGAGTCACCTTTAGTCAGACTAAAGAATGGAAAATGCTCTGAGACCTCAATTTTCTCTGTTCCTCCAGAGAGCACATGTTGGGAGGGAAAAATGCAAAAGATAAGGGGGTTTCAGCTCTTTGTATTGCTGAACCCTGAGATGAAGAGTGTTTACTCTGGCTGCATATTAATTGCTTACTTCTGCCAGTGAGACTGATTTCGTCAGTTCCTCAGGTCACAGTGCTCATCTTATGTTCACTGCTGGGGCTTGCCAATCTTTTTTCTTTCTTAAATTCTGATGTACTGTCTACTTTGCCTGGGAATTTTCAGATTTTACTTTCCAGCACTTTTACCTAGGAGGCAGGGGGAAAAGTCTGGCTTCAGTTGAGCCTGTCTGAACACCACTGGCAAACCCAGGAATGGTACACACCTCCCAGGACCTCATCCAACAATAAGACCATTGCATAAACCTCCACTTTAGGGCCTAATGAATTTCACATTTTTTTGTGAAGGCTGAAATGGGATTTGAACCTGAGATTTTCTCTGAACGTAAAATAAAGTCGCATTTTGGGTATGAGAACATTTGCTAGTTAACTAACAGGTGTTTCATCACTTACTACCATTACCAGACTTCTGTTCCATTAGAATGTTTTGGAACGAAGTAATAGTTTGGGGGTTTAGGAAGCAAAGTTTTCAATATAAATACTTCACAAAAGTGAGGAATCAGGTAATTTTACTGATTTTGGCTGTCTGTGTCCATGCAGCAGCAGAAAACCACCATGAAATCAAATTTGGAAAACATTCTGTGTCTTATCCTCTCCTTACACCCTCTTTGTTACTAGTTGATGACACGTCTTTTTTGCTTAATGCTGCCTTGGACTGCAAATCTGTCATGGCAAGAATAATCTACTGTTTCCTAAAATGATGATTTCTAATCCCAGTCCTGTTATGTAAATAGTTATTCCTTATTTGTGACTCGTACATGCACACAGTGTAAAGATGACAAAAATACTACTTCTACTAGCTCAGAGGTGGCCTTAGTAGTAGAACAAGTTTTGGGATAAGTAGGTATCTAAAAATTACCTGTACAATTGTATCAGCATCCTGTGTGCAAACTCCTTATGCTACGATGAAAGTACGGATGTGCATTTGAAGTCTACAGAAGGTATCTGACAATATACTTAATCAGAAAAAGAGGACAAAAGACCTCATATTAAAAAGAAAACAACCAACCCAAAACCAAAATGCCACATGTTGTCCAAAACTAGTAAAAAAACCTAGAATTTGCTACTTTTAATCCCAGCAGAAACACCACTTACTTGGTATTTGTGGTTGTGTTTCTGGGGGAAAAAAAAGCCAGTTTCCCTCAAAATGGGGCTCTGCATCTGTAGGTAAAGCACTGGTCACTCTACAGGGAGCCTGGGGAAAGTCTGGAACTGCATTGCGACATCCAGTACTGCTGCAGACTGGTTGGGGTCCAGTTCTCTGAAATGAAATGCCGAAGTATTGGGAAATTCCTGGAAAAATAAAAGGAACTGGTTTGTTTAAATGTTACTAAAGGTGACACAAGGGCAGATAATGCAACCTGCGTTGCACATAGACCAGAGGGACAGATGGAAGTATGTACCTATGACCCCAAGCAAAATCATCTAACTTTGAAGTGCAGTCTGTGAGGCTGGCACTGCTTGGAGCAAAGGACTCACTCCTGTGATCTCCAAAAGTCCCTTCCAGTCTAAATTATTTTGTGCTTCCATTTAATATACAGAGTTCCTGGTGACTAAGATGTCACTAGACAAAGGACACAATTTGATCCCTACAAAAGCTCTTTGCTCTCATTTTTCTTATATACAATGTGTAGGATATATTGAGGGAAATGGAAATCACAGGAATGGTGTCTTTTCTGTGCAGAAACAGTGGAAGAACAGCTTCAAAACTGAAGGAATAACTGCAGGGGCAAAAAACTGAGATGTATCTTTGTGGCTTTACTCCAGCACATAATACTCTTCAACTGATCTGGGGCTGGCTATTTCATCTGTGGAAAAATCCAAACACGGCCCACCACCTGTGGGCATGACTCCCTTGCCTTAAACTTCCAGACAAATCCGGGTGAAAGATTTAGGCCAGAATCTTTTATGGAGAAAAATTACACATATCCAACAGTGGAAGTGAAGTTATCCCGTTGCCTTCTTAATGTCAGTGACTGTGCTGACTCACACTGCTTTTGGATATGGCCATATAATTTTTGAGAGGACATTGCTACAGGAATTCTTGGGCTCAGAGTAGACAAAGATGGTGTTTATCAGCTTATCCCAGAGTACTGCAGCATTCAAAGGGCACATTTACCATGACCTCATGGACAGAGGTAAGGGCTACAAGTGCTGGGACAGCTCAGATCCCACAGGAAAAATTCTGTGATCCTTGTCAGTCAATGGCCACTGGTTAAAGATTACCTGTGCTGGTTGCTGCGATGGCTGGGTAGAGAAAGATTAACTGAGAGCAGCAGAAAGCTGAGCAAAGGTCTTTAACCTGGAAGCCATGATCTCTTCTGATTTCTGCTGGACATCAGTAAATGAAATTGATTTGAGTTTCCCAATCATCAAACTCATTACATCAGCTCTGGATTGTCCTGGCATTTCCTGTAACCATTCACTCTGACAGAGAGGGGTTGGGAATTACCTTCAGATTAGGAGAGTAAGGTCTGGCTGCAATGTACCCCTCATGACGTTGCTTTTTCCCCAGCAAAATAGTTGTGGGCAGAATTTAAGCAGTTATGCTGTAACCAGAAGACTAACACAAAAAAAACCAGTCCCTCAGGGCGACTCTCCTTCCCCCAGGAGATCTGCTGGCTCTGCAAGCAGGTGTGCCAGGCACACCAGTGTACGAAGGATGCCCTAGGGAGGGCATCCAGCTCTCTTAGTCCTCTGTCCCCTGAGCCGCACATGAGGATAAGCAGCTTTATTAATTTTTTGTCTTTGCAAGTAAAAATTCTTTTTCAGTCCACTTCTCAGAACTTGAAGAGACTTTGGTGACCTGAACTCTGTCAGCCCCTAGCGCAGTCCGTGCCCGGGGCTGAGGGTGCCTCTGCTGAGGGGTCCTGTGCCCTGCCCCTGTCCCTGCATGAGCCCAGCCCCAGCAGCAAGGCCTGGGGGAGGTCTGAGGCAGACTTTGGGGCAGGGTGGACAGAGCTCTTGGTGCCCTTGGCTTGCAGCCAGCAGTAATTAACTGCTAGTTGTTTTAATTGCAGCACTGCAGTACAGCCAGGAGCAGTCCCTGTGTGGCTCCCATGTCGCAGGAGATGCCTGTCAGCATCTCACACAGGTGCTAATCTTGCTCTTTTGAGAAAAGCAAACAAATCAGCTTGGCCCCTTGAAAAAATCACAAAGTTTTTATAGTGGTTTTATAACTCCATGCTGATGTTCTGCCTAGGCCCAGTGGTGACTGGAGGAACTCCCTACAGTTCGTCTGGCCACCAAAAGACTTAAAGTCAGGGCCTAGAAGTAGCCAAGATAAGGCCAATTAAACTCAGCTTGGTATGGGCTGGACTTGGCTTTCCTTTGCTATATTCATCTGCTCCGAATTCCCCAGTTACATGGAAAAACAAAAAAAGTGCAACCATGATGGCAATGTTTTGGAGATAGTGGAGATTAAGTAACGAAGAATGATCCATCAAGTGTTTTGTGTGACATTGCAGGCACTTTCCTTGCTAGATGGAAATTTCACACAGATTCCACATTTAGTCTAACCTGTTTTACCAACTCATTTATCACCCTATGTAGCATGAAATTTCATTTCCCATGGCTATTCCAATCGTGTTTGCCATGCCTCTGCTGAACTGAAGCCTTTTTCACAAAATCCTGATTTCAATACCTCAGAGAAAGAGTTTTGAATGAAAAGGACTAAAGTGGGGAGGAAAGTGAGGCAGCAGCTTTTGTGAAAGAGCTGAAGTGCTCTTTTTCCACAAGGAAAATATTTGTAGCACTGGTAACTGGAGAATGCTCCAGAAACTATTTGCTCCCAGTGGGCAGAGGCCAGTTGCCAGTGGCAGCCCGAGTCCCAGTTACCCGGCCAAGCATAACTGGGAAGTTTCTGTGTCAAAACTAGGGAATCCCAGAATGGTTTGGGTGGGAAGGGACCTTAAAAATCATCTCATTCCACCCTCATGGGTAGGGATGCCTTCCACTCTCCCCAGTTGCTCCAAGCTCTGTCCAATGTGGCCTGGGACACTCCCAGGGATGGGGCAGCCACAGCTTCTCTGGGCACCCTGTGGCAGGGCCTCATCACCCTCACAGCTGAGAATTTCTTCCCAATATCCCATCTAATCTTGCCCTCTGGAAGTGTGAAACCATTTGCTGTGTCCTGTGAGTCCAGGCCCTTGTCCCAAGTCCCTCTCCATCCCTCCTGTGAGCCCCTTAGGTGCTGCAAGGCCCCTGTGTTGCAGGGAATCTATGCACAGAAACAGCAGGGGGGTGAAATATGGATCTTGAGCTCAAAATAAAGTGAGCATTGGCAATTCCTGACCTAGCACTGGGAACTGCAACATTATGTATCAAAAGAATGGAAAGAAGAATTACTAATGTACAGGACAGGCTGTAGAAACAGGTGTGGGAATTACACAGGTGTTCAGGCATGCTGGAAGTTAATTAGTCCTGATTAAGATCAGGTGTGAGGGTGCCTCAGGGACCTTGTAACGGTTTTTTTAGTCTAAAGTGATTCTCAGTGTGGCTTTAGAACTGGTTCTGCCAAGTTGGAGAAGCTTACCCATTGCACTGGATATTAAATTTACTGGATTACAACAGCTCTGGAGTTCCTGAGACTGCTCTTCTAGACTGCCTGGCGAAACTTAAAACTGACAAGTAAGTGGACTTCTATTTTTTGTGGTTGGAATGAGGTGACTGAGGTTCCTGTACTCTGCAATTAAAATAGGTGGTGTTGTGCCTTGGCATGTATTAGATTTGGTGAGCTTTACAGAATGATTATCTGTGGGAAATGTGCTGGATCAGAAAGAAATTGCCAGAAAACTTTTTGCCTGCCTGCCAGCATCTTCATGCTCTCTGAGGATAGGTTAAAAAAACAGAAATAAAACAGGGTGTGGTTAGTGAATCAGAGGATGCCTTGTGTTTCAGCCTCGGGATTATGAAGGGTGATGGTGTCTGGATCCTGGCCACTTCTACCTGTTTCCTGAAGCCTTTTTTTCACAAAATCCTGATTTCAAGACCTCAGAGAAAGAGAAGCTGCTATCTTTTCCCAATCTGTCCGTGTGGGTAATCCAAACCAACAGGTTTGAGGGACAGGCTGTGGCTGCTCAGGTGCAGCTGGTCTGTAATTACTTAGGTTGGTGCAGGTACTGAACATCACCCTTAGGTGATCAAAGACAGTTTTGAGTGAAAAGAAGGACTAAAGCGGAGGGGGGGGGGAGGGGGTTTGGTGGTAAAGTGAGGCAGCAGCTTTTGTGAGAGAACAATTCCTTGTGTTCCAGGGCTTTTTCAAGATCAGCTCTTGGAAATCAGTGGGTTTGTACTGTGCTCACTGAGCACAGTGGCACAGAGCTCCCAAAGGTATTAAGCAGAAGTGTAATCCCAAATACTGTGTAATGGACTAATCTGAGGTATTCATGTGCCCACACTTCAGAAGCCTCCATGTGATGTTTGTACCCGGCATCTACAGCCTCAGTGTGTGAGAAACAGGACCAGTGTGAACACTGGAGTCCCAGTCCCAGGGACAAGAGGCAGCTCTTTCCCTGTTGTGGGAGCCCTTGGCTGGAGCTCTGTGAGCATGGTTGGAGGGTGGCTGCGGAGTGGCAGCTGTCGGCAGGCAGCCCTCGGGCGGGCTGGCCGCCCCTGAGGCCGCGCCGTGTCTCCAGGCGGTCGCAGGGCGCTCGGGGCCGAGGCAGAGCGGCGGGGCCCAGCGGAGCCCGGAGCTGCCCGCGCCCTGTGGCACCTGCCCCTGGGCACGGAGTGCTCCTGCGGGTAAAGGGCTGGCCACAAAGCTCCAGGGCATGCTTCTGCTGCCATGAGAGAACAAAGAACGGCCTCTTCTCTCCCTCGCTGTGAAAACAGTCACTAACCTGGTGTCCGTGTCCGCCTTTGTCCCGCACACCGTGGAGATGTCACTGGCCAAACGGGGCTGGCCGGGGCTGGGCTGGGCTTAAAAGGACACCGCGTCTTGTTGGGTGGGGAGGGGAGGAGTGCCCAGCTCTGTAAGGAAACATTAGGAACTGCATGCATGACCCGCCTGTGTAATCACGTACCAGTTTAGCTTACCAGAGTTTGAAATCTATTGCCATAGCCTCACAAGGCTTCCCGGTTACACAATGTTGTCCTCAGAATACAGTTGAAGAAAAATTATTCTGAGAATTCTTTTTTTTTTTTTTTTTTTGTGTCTCATTTCTTAATGCTTCACAGCGTTAGTAGTATTGGTGTTTGAGAAAGGAACTAGTTTGCTGGTTAAATGAATTTTCTCTCTCTTTTTTTTTTTTTTTTAATGGAGAAATGAGAGCCAACTATGAAAAGTAACCTTTTTTTAAAGAAACTCACAATAAGGGAGAATGGAGGAAAATGCTATTTGATTTCCAGCAAATGGCCACTTTAAACATAGGTATTGATATTCCTATTTGGAGATACTGCTCAGGTGTTTCAGTAAATTTTTTTTGGACCAAAGGAACCCGCTCTGTCAATCTGTATCAGTCTCACCGGGGGTCATATGTCACAGCCACTGTAGAGCCTGTTAATGCTGTATGGGACCCCCCTTTTGCTGAATCATTGGTATCAGTTTGCTGTGTTTGGGAAATTTTTTTTTTTTTTTTAAAAGCTAAAACTTTCTAGTGGCTCTAAAACAAAACACTTTCCGGCGTCTTGGAATTTTTCTGTTGTACTGGAGAACAATTAAACAAACACATGCAATTCTTGTTTTAGTGATCTCAGTAAATTAATTTTTATTTTCGTTAAATAGCAGATAGAATGTGCCCATTTAAAGACCAAGAAACAATTACTTATTTTCATGTCCAAGGGAAGACTCTTAAGCTCTTGCAGTCATTTCAACATTATTTGTTTCCAAGGCTTATTCAGTGATTCAGATATTACTCTCTCTGCTTACCAAGAAAAAACCCCAACTTTAATTAATGCTTGCCAGATTAATTCTGTATGAACTGAGTTTAGAACTCACCTGCTGTTCCTAGAATAATCCTGGAAACTTGGTTTTCTTCCTCAGAAGTTTATTATGACTGGAAAAAACCAGAACACCACATATACAAATCTGAATCTTTATCCTCAGAGGGAAGTGAGAGGGGCTGTAGCTGTGGGGTCTGACCACGGGCCAAGCCGGGCTGTGCTTGCTCTGGGCTGGAAGGGACACGGGTGTGTGTGGTGCGGTGACACCTGCCTGCTGGTGGCACAGCTCGTGTGTTCCTAGTGTGCCTGGTGAAATAAGGTACCATCTGCCCATAGCTGGTGTGTTGGAGCTATTTCACATATGTGAACTGGAGTATGTTAAACATTAATCATTCCTCTCAAGCCTCTGTGGGTGTGGGCCAGGGCTGTGCTTTACCCAGGTCAATGAACAACGCTCTGGAGCCATGTTTGAAGCTAAGTGGTTGTGTGGCAAGATTCTGTGTGTTTCACAATTCCTAAGTGCTAGTAGAACATTCCTGAGTGCTAGTGGAATTTAAAGTCCAATTTTAATTTAGGATTAGTGAGTAACTTAACTAGACATGAGTACCACACAGCTGTGACAAGCAGTCTGGGAATTCCTGAAGTTTGTTGAGGATAATTTCTCATCACAAGTGCTCAGAGAGCCAACTAGGAAAGGTGCTCTGCCACAGGGGTTTGTGAATAGAGGACTCATGGCAAGAGTGATGGTTCTGGTCACAGTGACCATTAAATGGTTGGATTTAAATTTTTTGGTGTAGTTACAAAAAGCAGAGTTGTCGCCCTGGATTTCAAGAGAACAAATTTAAGGGAGCAGTTGGCCATGTCCCCTGAGGAGCTGCCTCAGAGGGCCCTGAGTGCTGGTCAGGTTTGAATGAAATGTGAGCAGGAGAGGCAATGCCATTCTGGCAAAAGCCAGGCTCTTGGCTCGCTGGAAGCCAGGCCAGGTGCCGCAGGAAGAGGACAGCTGTGGTTTGCCAGCAGAGTGCTTGGGTCTCAATCCAAGGGCTTGTACTGTTCAACGCTGTTATCCAGGACCTGGGTGCAGGAGTGCAAGGCACCAGGAGTGAGTTTGCTGAGGATACTGAAGTGGGAGGTGCTGTGGGCTCAAGGGACCAGAGGCCTTGCAGAGGGATCTAGAGCGGTGGAACACTGGGCAGTCACCAGTGGCAGGAAATCTAACAGAAACAGCAGGAGAATTCCTGGTGGTTTCTGCAGGGCCTGGGTTTCACCCAGTATGTACTAGTGCAGCACCTACTGTGTGAATTACAGAATTTTGCTGAAAAGCATAAAGATTAATGACTGTACCTACTGGGAGCTTGGGATGGAATTCTCTCAAAGTCAGGCAGTGGCAGCCACAGGTTTGTGAGAACTGGCTGACTCACCTTTACCCCAAACTGGGAATTTTTCATCAAATTAAGTTTTCCTGAAATGCATGATTTGATGCAAATATTCCAACTCGACTGAAATTTTCAAAAACATAAAAAAGCTTCTATTTAATTTGTAACTGCATTTTTATTTAACTCCTGAAAGCTGGCATGAGTATGGCAGTTTGAATTAATGTTGATTTTTAAGTGCTGTTTAAAGTTGTGCTTTTATTTACATGAAGTCTTGGGGGTTTCATGGTTGGTTTTTTTTAAAAGTCAGCTTTAGAAACATAGTTTGAGCATAAGAGCAGGAGGATGCTGAGTGAGGGTTACTATGTATTGCTTACGTGTGTTTGCTGATCCAGCACCTAGTGAAGTAATGGTGCTGGATTAAGTACTTTTTTTTTTTTTCCCCAGCACTTTCTAAAGGCACACAGTTATTTTCAGTACCAGATAAATCATTATTTTGGTGCTGTGCTACATGTCTGAACTATACTGACAGAGAAGTTTCCACAGCTATGCTAGTAAACTGAGAACGTGTCCTGGCTTCTGTGGGGTGGCCCCCTCTGTGTGTGCAGGGGGTGTAGGAAGGCCTTGGGTTGCCTTGTGCCTCTCCAAGGCTGTTTCCCCAGCAGTCCCTTTCCCTGCTGAAATGAGCAGACTCCCTACTGCTGAGCTGAAAGGAGCTCAGGAATGGATGTGGCACTTTCTTGGTGCCTTTCTGTCGTGGTGCCAGGTGAAAGCTCTGAAAGGTGATGTTAAGCAAACTGGGAAGGAATGTTCTGTTAGTGTTGTCAGAGCCAGGCTCGGCTGTGTACTGCTCCCAGTGGCTGCCTGGGGAGGAAATAGGCTTTTATCATCAGAAAGAAAAATCCCAAACTGGGTACTTGTGCTGATGCTGATAGAAGACTGTGTTTGCCACAAGACAAATGACAACTTGGTAGTAAGAATAAGGTGAATTGAGATGACTTGTGTGCACCACAAACCTGTATTTGCTTACAATAAATGTGTCACTATATAGTAGGTATGTGTTACCAAACCATGCTTGATGTGAATACACCAGAGGCCAGAGATGGAGGAACTGGCTCTCAGCTGAGTTTCCTGGTGCCTGCATTCAAGCCATGAGAGGCACTAGACAGAAAAGCACAAAATCCAGAGGAAATGTTGTATTCTAGGGAAGCAGGGACAGTTTTGTTTTGGTTGTTTTTTGTTTTTTTTTTTTCATCTAAGTGAGACATGAAGTAAAAACTTGCTTCCAGGAATCCACATTGGTGGAGAGTCAATTTCTGGTTCAAATTTGTGCTTAGAAGCAGTGATTCTGCGTCTCTCTAGTGTTTGTCTCTGCACCGAAGTCCTGATTAAATTCTCCAGGTCCTAAAAGCTGCTGACATCTCGCCATGAAAGTGTCCTTGCCAAACAGGACATCAGCAGCTCTGTTGCTCTGGGAATTTAGAGTACAAAGCAATCTCAAGGCAGCTGCATTTTCTTACTGGACAGCAGTTCTTGCCAGTGCTTTCCTGGACCAGGAGGCTGCCAGGCTGGAGTTGTTATTAGGACCCTTGCACTGCACACAAAACTGCTGCACTCTGGGTGCTCCTGGCACTGAGCTTCTGTCCACGTGTAGGGCAGGAACATCTGTCACATCTGGGCTGTTCCTGAGGAACACTGATTTCTCTTGGGCTGCTTCCCTGGCATGTAACACCACCTACCTTTTTCTTGGGGATTTGGACTCCTGGAATATTGGCTGAAGTGCAAATTCTTGCGATAGGCTTGGCACTGTTGTTACAAACCACAGGCAGAAAGGAGCAATAGAAAGATGTTTCCTGCCTTGCTATCAAATAGCAAAGTCCCTTATAAAAGGGGGGGGAAATGGAATCGAATGCTCCTATTATTATCTCTCTCTCTTTTTTTTTTTTTTTAATCTATAGGCACAACTGGGCAATGCTGAGTCCAAAATGTGTGTGCTGTACCCAGCCATTGATAAAACATAGAAGCACAAATTATACTTACATTATTATTACATAATTGGAGATGGTGAACCAGCTGCTTGCTTGCTGAGGAAGAGGAACTGTTCCAAACTTGACAATTTTCTTAAAAGCTGCTGTTGACAGAAATAATGCACTAGGGCAAAGGAAATTACCGGTGTGGTAGGGAAAATATTGTCACTTGTGCAAACAGGTGGCCTTCAGTTCCCTGAACTCTAGGTGGGCTGCAGAGGAAGGTAATTACTAGACTTACACTATGTTACTCCACTTCGAAGCAGCTAGAAGTTATTTAATGGTTGTGCTCTGTAAAGAACCCCTTAAAACTAGTGTGCTGCACCAGCACACTAAAACATGTAGAGATACAGCAGAGAGCTGTGTGCTCATGGCATGCAATTCATATTTGCCAAGTATTGATCTAGTGTGCATCTCTTATCTTTTAGCTGTAGTCCAAGGTTCAAAGTTTACCTTTTGTTTAAAAACTGATTTCACAGGGAGGTCATGTCCTTTAGCTAATCCAGCAGCACTAGAGGTCTGTAAAATGGAAATTTGGTTTACCACTACTTGGAGGAAAGCCCTGAAGCCCACATGGAAAGCCCCTATGGTATAGAGGTGTATCCACTGACATGGCAGAGAGCCTGGACAAGTGACAAAGTGGAGGAAATAATTAGTTGGCTTTGGAATATTATTGTGTTGCCAGACCCAGCCTCAAACTAGGAAAAGATAAGCCCTGACCATTTTCTCCTGACCCAGGCACATCCACAGCCCTTCCCAGGGTACTGGTCACTCATCCCCACCTTCATATTTTCACTGCAAAGAGTTGGCTGAAATTATTCCCAAATAGCTGAAACCCCAAAGCACACTGGGAAAGGCAGTTATTACTTACCACAAAATAAATGGCCACAATAAAATGATAACCTAATGTAGCAGAAGATGTTGGTTTTTACTTCTGGTTTTCCTTTATAAAGTTATGTGCATTTGTATGTAGCAATCTGTAAACAGGAGTGAGGAAAATCTCTCTTTAGAGGCAGAATTAACTGATTATGCATGAAGAATTTACTCAAAATTTTAAAACTAAAGCAAGCCCAGAGTAGTTTCTGTCCACAGCAAGTCTGGCACATTTCATTTCTATTTAAGTGACACTGGCCACTCTGGTCAGGACTGTCCCTGTGTCTCAGGCACTGGGGACTGTAGTGACCAGGGCACGGACAGTCTGAAATCCGAGCAGATCACTCTGGATCAGCAATACGCTGGAGACAACTGGCCACAGGAATGAGCAGAAACCATCAGCCTCTGGGACAGGGACTTCATTTTAATCATACAAATCATGCCACATGCACGGATCCAGCTTCTCAGATCCTCTTACCACAAAACCCAGTTCTGACCTAGTTCTCCTGTCCTCCACAAAACCCACAGGAATTTGAATTTTGGGCTACCTTTACAAATTGCATTTCAGCTTTGCTAAAGCAAATCCCTGCAGGTCCCCGTTTTCCAGAGCACCAGTCCTTACTGATCTCCAGTTCCTCGGAAAACATGCCACAATCCCAATCTGAGCCAGCGAGAGCCGCAGCCTGGCTGAGCAGAACTCTGGAGAGGTCAGAGCCCTCCCCTGGACTGCTGCACTTGGAGTGAGATCCAGCTAGAAATGGAGCTCTGGAAACAGCCTCCAAAATGTTCTAGGATCAGACCTTTAAAATGGCTCCAAAGAGCTCCAGCATGAGTCCTTGTCCCAGCCCTGGCTCACAGACATACACACACACACACACACACACACACACACACACACACACGAAGCCAAGGGTCACACAGGCCCTGCTTGCAGAATTCCTGATCCAAATCCCCGCCTTCTGTGCCCAGTGCCGAGGGAAATCTGACAGACGAATAATAAAGGACCTTTTCTGAGAGCAGTCTTCACCTCAGGCCTTCAGGCTTGGCAAGATTTTGTAGTGACCCAAATTCAATTCCTAAATCTAAATCTCTGATAAGTCTTGTTAAAAAGATACCAGACAGTCACACAGGCCACAGAATTAAAAGCCTGCAGAAGGAGTAACAGAAGCTTTTCCATGAATAACAGAAATTCCTTTCTTCCCTCATCAGTCTGGGACTGTGGGACTGAATCTTTGCCACCAAGACACAAGAGAGTTGTGATTAACACTTAAAGCCCTCACATGTTGTTATTTCTCAGAACTGGGCTGGTGCTGAGCTGCTCCCATGTGTCTGCAGTGCAAAGAGGACGGGCAAGGCAACATCCCAGTTCCACCTGGATAAATTTCAAGATGATAAAAAGTAATTTCTCTTCTCTCTGACCTATAGTCCTGTGGGAAATCCTGCTGAGAACGTGGGGTCTGAGTTGGAATCGGGGTCAGGGTCAGGCAGCTAAACAGATGCCTTTCCGTGCCATTTTCCATCCCTACCCAAAACAATGCCACCGTTTTTGGAAGGGCACGCTAATCTGTGTAGCGGGGCCACCATCTCTGGTATGGAGTCAGGAACTTCCACTTTTCTCACCACTCTGGATTCTGACAGGAGCCACTTCTGGCCAGGCCACCACGTCGGTGTGCTGCCAGGGTGAGAGCTGGCACAGTGCTGGGTGCCAGCCTCGGGCACAGACACAGGATGTGGGAACGGTGCAGGAAAAGGAGGGATGGTGCTGGGTGGAGCGGTCAGCCTGTGCTCTTATTAGTGTCGCAGTGCAGGGCACTGGGACCTGGGTGAAACTCCAGCTCTCCCGCTGTTCAGGGGTGCCAGGTCTGAGGGCTTTTTACCTGTGGCTTTCCAGGACAGCAGCAACAAGAGGAAATGGGATTGCCAGAGCTGGGTCCCACCAGCTTGGGCTTCCCTCTGAGGACAGTCTCCATCCTTCTCTGGAGAAGAGAATGAAAAATGGCAAAAATGAGTAATAGGGAAAATTGTGGGAGTAAATATTGAGAAAAGCTCCATGTTATTAAATAAATACTTTGAAGTAAATTGTGGAAAAGTAGGGGAATTTTGGGGGACAAAACTCTAAGAATGAGTATTTTTGGGTAAAAAATAAGGTAAGGAAAATTTGGGTTGTAAAACTGGAGATAATCCCTAGAATAGACGATTAATATTTTCTTGTAAAAATTAGGAAATCAGAAGTGGAAAGACAAGGAAAATGTGGGGAGGAAAAGTGAAATAATCCCCAGAGATTCAGAAATTAACATCCTGAGGTAAACTGAGGTCATCAGTTGTGGACATGGAGTGAAAATTTTGGGTGTAGAAATGGAATTTTTCTCCAAGATGGAGAATGAAAATTTTGAGGAGAAAATAGGATCACTGGTAGTGGACATGTAGGGAAATTTTGAGGGTAAAGAGTTAATCTACATGGAATAAGTAGGGGATGTTTTTGAGGGAAACTGGGGCCAGAGGTGAAAGTCAATCCAAAGCCAATCCTGCTTCAACTCTAAATCTCAGGATAAATTCTACAGCCAGTTGAGGGACTAAAATTTAATTAAAATGGAGCCAAGACTATTAAGAAGGTTTCTGGGAATCCCATCCCAGTGTTGTCATTGAATTTTTAACAGATCTTGAGACTTTTGGTGACAATAATGCATTTCTCTGTTGGGATTGCCATGGACCAGGTGAAACCTCAGGACTTGTTTTGCTTATTGCTCCCTGGAAAAGGATGTTGCACATTCCGAGCCATTGGGGAAATGCTGGAAAGAGCAGGAATTCTAGGTTATTGGAGGAGTTCTATGCAGTTTTGTCAGGTGCCAGCCAGTTCTGAGGGCTGGTTCAAAGGGCTGGTGTGTAAAACAGCATTAGCAGAAAAGAAGGAACAGCCATTCCCATCCCAGCCCTTTCTTGTGATCACAAAATTTGCTCAGGAGCTGAGAATACCAATATGCTGAATGCAATCCCTAGATGGGCCAATCACTTCACATCATTTGACTTCATGATCCTCGGGCGTCCTTCCAACTCAGACTCTCCTGTCCTCTGGAAATAAAGAGGTAACAGTTTCCCCTGGCATTTTAAACCCAGAGGTTTTTCCATTGGAGAGAGCGAGAAAGTGGGGAGAGGAAGGAGAGCATCGGGTCTCACGCGGCAGGTGTCGGATGAGCGGCCCGAGCAGGGTCCCGCTCTCACCCCGGGCGCGGTCGAGAGCGGCGGAGGGGCCGGTTCCTTCCGCCCGCGGCGATCCAGCCGCGCTCGTCCCGCCGCGTTCTCCGGGGGTGCGGGGGCCTCGGGGGGCCGCGGCGGGCTCGGCATCCGTGGGGGCTGCGCGGCGGCTCCGTGTCCGCCAGGCGGCGCCCCGCGGGCCGGGAGGCGGCGCTGAGGGAGCGGCGGTGCCGATGGGGTCCCGGGCGTGGACCTATTTAGCATGAGAAGCGAAGACAGGCGGGGACAGGGGTTGAATATGCATAGAAAAATTGTGTAATGTATTGCATATGTAACACCTTTGTGAATAAAGTCGGGGGGCAGACTTCAGCTCGGGGCACAAGATTTCGGAGAGTTATCTCACTTGTGCCGAGCGCTCCCATACATACCCACTTCATAACTACCTCGAGTTGTGGAGTCTATTTATTTAGTCCGTATATCGCTTCATTTTGGCGACCGCGGCAGGACTTCTCTGCTCACCTGTGGGTTCGGTGGAGGGCGCTACCGGAAGTCGCCGCGCAGCGTTGCTAAGCGACGCGGCGGGGCCGGGAAGACGCGGCGCTACCGGAAGTCGCCGCGCAGCGTTGCTAAGCGACGCGGCGGGGCCGGGAAGACGCGGCGCTACCGGAAGTCGCCGCGCAGCGTTGCTAAGCGACGCGGCGGGGCCGAGAAGGCGCGGGGCGGCGAAAATTCGCCGCGCAGCGTTGCTAAGTGGCGCGGCGGGGCCGAGAATGCGCGGCGCGGCGGGGCCGAGAATGCGCGGCGCGGCGAAAATTCGCCGCGCAGCGTTGCTAAGTGGCGCGGCGGGGCCGAGAATGCGCGGCGCGGCGGGGCCGAGAATGCGCGGCGCGGCGAAAAGTCGCCGCGCAGCGTTGCTAAGCGACGCGGCGGGGCCGGGAAGACGTGGAAGACGGAAGACCGTCTTCCCGGCCCCGCCGCGTCGCTTAGCAACGGTGCGCGGCGACTTTTCGCCGCGCCGCGTCATCTCGGCCCCGCCGCGCCACTTAGCAACGCTGCGCGGCGACTTTTCGCCGCGCCGCGTCATCCCGGCCCCGCCGCGTCGCTTAGCAACGGTGCGCGGCGACTTTTCGCCGCGCCGCGCATTCTCGGCCCCGCCGCGCCACTTAGCAACGCTGCGCGGCGACTTTTCGCCGCCCCGCGCCTTCTCGGCCCCGCCGCGTCGCTTAGCAACGCTGCGCGGCGACTTCCGGTAGCGCCGCGTCTTCCCGGCCCCGCAGTGTCGCTTAGCAACACTGCGCGGCGACTTCCGGTAGCGCCGCGTCATCCCGGCCCCGCCGCGTCGCTTAGCAACGCTGCGCGGCGACTTTTCGCCGCGCCGCGCCTTCTCGGCCCCGCCGCGTCGCTTAGCAACGCTGCGCGGCGACTTCCGGTAGCGCCGCGTCTTCCCGGCCCCGCCGCGTCGCTTAGCAACGCTGCGCGGCGACTTCCGGTAGCGTCGCGTCATCCCGGCCCCGCCGCGTCGCTTAGCAACGCTGCGCGGCAACTTTTCGCCGTGCCGCGCATTCTCGGCCCCGCAGCGCCGCGCCTTCTCGGCCCCGCCGCGCCGCTTAGCAACGCTGCGCGGCGACTTTTCGCCGCGCCGCGCATTCTCGGCCCCGCCGCGCCGCGCATTCTCGGCCCCGCCGCGCCACTTAGCAACGCTGCGCGGCGACTTTTCGCCGCGCCGCGTCTTCCCGGCCCCGCCGCGTCGCTTAGCAACACTGCGCGGCGACTTCCGGTAGCGCCGCGTCTTCCCGGCCCCGCCGCGTCGCTTAGCAACGCGGCGCGGCGACTTCCGGTAGCGCCGCGTCTTCCCGGCCCCGCCGCGTCGCTTAGCAACGCTGCGCGGCGACTTCCGGTGGCGCCGCGTCTTCCCGGCCCCGCCGCGTCGCTTAGCAACGCTGCGCGGCGACTTTTCGCCGCCCCGCGCCTTCTCGGCCCCGCCGCGTCGCTTAGCAACGCTGCGCGGCGACTTCCGGTAGCGCCGCGTCATCCCGGCCCCGCCGCGTCGCTTAGCAACGCTGCGCGGCAACTTTTCGCCGCGCCGCGCATTCTCGGCCCCGCAGCGCCGCGCCTTCTCGGCCCCGCCGCGTCGCTTAGCAACGCTGTGCGGCGACTTTTCGCCGCCCCGCGCCTTCTCGGCCCCGCCGCGCCGCGCATTCTCGGCCCCGCCGCGCCGCGCATTCTCGGCCCCGCCGCGCCACTTAGCAACGCTGCGCGGCGACTTTTCGCCGCGCCGCGTCTTCCCGGCCCCGCCGCGTCGCTTAGCAACGCTGCGCGGCGACTTCCGGTAGCGCCGCGTCTTCCCGGCCCCGCCGCGTCGCTTAGCAACGCGGCGCGGCGACTTCCGGTAGCGCCGCGTCTTCCCGGCCCCGCCGCGTCGCTTAGCAACGCTGCGCGGCGACTTCCGGTAGCGCCCTCCACCGAACCCACAGGTGAGCAGAGAAGTCCTGCCGCGGTCGCCAAAATGAAGCGATATACGGACTAAATAAATAGACTCCACAACTCGAGGTAGTTATGAAGTGGGTATGTATGGGAGCGCTCGGCACAAGTGAGATAACTCTCCGAAATCTTGTGCCCCGAGCTGAAGTCTGCCCCCCGACTTTATTCACAAAGGTGTTACATATGCAATACATTACACAATTTTTCTATGCATATTCAACCCCTGGCCCCGCCTGTCTTCGCTTCTCATGCTAAATAGGTCCACGCCCGGGACCCCATCGGCACCGCCGCTCCCTCAGCGCCGCCTCCCGGCCCGCGGGGCGCCGCCTGGCGGACACGGAGCCGCCGCGCAGCCCCCACGGATGCCGAGCCCGCCGCGGCCCCCCGAGGCCCCCGCACCCCCGGAGAACGCGGCGGGACGAGCGCGGTTGGATCGCCGCGGGCGGAAGGAACCGGCCCCTCCGCCGCTCTCGACCGCGCCCGGGGTGAGAGCGGGACCCTGCTCGGGCCGCTCATCCGACACCTGCCGCGTGAGACCCGATGCTCTCCTTCCTCTCCCCACTTTCTCTGTGGCTCGCTCTCTCCAGGTTTGGGGGGAGAGGAACAGGGGAGGAAGGGGTAGAAAGAAGAGGAGTACGGGGCGAAGGAAAGAGGGTAGATGGGGGAGAGGAGGGGCGGTTTCTGGGGGGCAAAGGGGGGGAAATGGGGAGGAAGAAGGGGAATACGGGGAGAAGGAAGGAGAGCTAGGTGGGGGGGGAAAGGTGTGGAGGTCTTAAGGGGCAAATGGGAGGGGGAGAAAGAAGAGGAATTCGGGGAGAAGAAAGAAGAGGGAGCAGTGGGGAAGCTGAAGCCCCCACGACTCACCTGGGAAACCTGGATCAGGAGCTCCTACTCTCACCGCACTCATAGTGAACAAATGTTCGACAGGCAATTTCAGGGGATTAAATCACCTCGGCCCCACCCCATGCACCCGTGTCGGGCCCGGGGCCTGCCTCTGAAGCCCTGCTGCTGCCCGAGCCCAGCCTTGACGCTGTCGGCCCTGCCCCCGATATCACCCGGATCCCGTCTCCTGGGACTCTCCGGTGTTCCACGTTGGAATCAGCTGTGCTTAATGTACAGGTCAGTGGGAATACCTAGATTTACCTCTTCTATCCCCATAGCCAAGCAATCAGTGCAGCATTCCTGTCTACTCTGATGCCAGCCACTGTCTTGCGTTCCAACCGCTCCTCCGATGGAAAAGGTCAGGCAGGAATGTCAGGAAGCATATTTAATAGAGAAGGAATTGAACTGCATTCAAGTACTGCCCTAATCTTCCTCAGGACTGGGACCGTAACTGCTGAATGCTACTGGCAGTGAGGCTTCTTCCCAGCCGGGTGATCCTGTATCCTAGGCCCGCAGTGTGGCTGGACGCAGGCTGGACACGCAGGTAAGGCTAGGGCTCAAAAACTGTTGGCGGTGAGGCAGAAGTTTCCTTTGGCAAGTGGTGTCATCTTGCTCGGATGCTGGGGAGCGGGCTGGGACAGAGCTGCAGGTGAGTGGAAACCAGCCCTGCTCCAGCAGTGCTGTCATCATGTCACTGCACTGGGGCAAGCACAAATCTGTCACCTTTAATCTGCCAGAAAACAGATGCAACTCAGACATTATAGATTAGGCATGCAACATGTCATAGGTAACAAAATGGATTAGACAGCAGTGTATATTAAATAAATCTTTGTAAGTAAAAAAATCACAGAAACAATTACTAAGGAACAAGTCTGCAGGCTCAGGTCTAGAGCTGGTGGGGTTTTCTCTTATACAGCAGCAGCCAAGTTCACATGTGCAGTGGGAAGAAGTAAAATCCCATTAGCATTTATGCTCAAACCAGGTCTGCCTTCCCAGTGGTACAGAAAGTGCCTTCAGAGTCGGTGCCGTTAGAAATTAACAACCCCAGTGTTAATTAGGTTCATTAGCAAGTGCACACAAACAGGTGGAGCTGGAACAGAGCTGTGTTCCAGAGTGCCAGATTTCATTCGGAATGCCTCCACTGCAAAAACAGGAATGCGGAAAGGATGGAAAACCAATCACTGTACAGAGAGAATGACAGGGTTCAGCATGTTCTCCTAAAAGGCTAAATGCCAACCCCAGCCCAGATGCTTTGTAGCACATGTACAGCTTGGCAGTAATGAGGCAGCTTCAGTAGAACAGACATCTGGACATGCTGTGTCAGGCCTCTGCTGTGCCTTGACACTCTTCTAGTACTTACACAAAAATGCAACATCCAGCCTGTACTTCTGGATACAGAACAACAGTGATATGCTTAATGAAGAGAGCTGCTTTCGAGAGACAGCCTGTGGAGAGAAAGCTTCCAACAGAGCTTTCTCCCACTCTCCTAATAGTTTAGGAACACAAGGCTCAATGTGCTTTGAAAAAAAAGTCTGGTATGAAATTAAGAAAAATGCTCATTTTTCCAAGTATATGATATTTAATTGTAATGAAATAAAATCTGAAAATGTCTAAATCAATTAAGAAGTAAACATGAGTTATAATACTATACCTGTAAAATGATTAATTCCATTCATTGTCATTAGAAATTGTGTAAAATATTTATTAAGGGCTTTGCCTACAGAGGCACAACATAAATAGAGTAAGTCCTGCTGAAATGTGATCGGTTCGCAACTGGTGCGGGAACATCAGCAAGGCCACCCCAGGTGACAGTCCCAGCCTCAGGGCTCGGCCCCCGCACTGCCGGGGTTTGCTCCAGAGCCCAGCACCGGGCAACTGCTGTGCCACAAGCCCTCGGAGTCCCTCGGGCAGGTGCCAAAGCCAGCAGAACGTGCTTGGAGAGGGAACGGGTGCTGCAAAGTTAATCCACCCCTTCAAACCCTTGGGCATTCTCCACAGCCATGAGGAGCTTCTCCCGCAGGTCCTCGAAAGATTCATACAGAGGCAAGTCTAGGCGGTTAAAGCTGGAAGGGACAAGGAAAGAGTCACTCAAATAATCCATGGAAAAACAGAGTTTTTAAGAACTAGAAAAGATTAAATAATTAGGGATCTTGATTAAGAATGCAGCTTGTGGTCCTTGCACACTGTTCCTTGCACACCTCACACCTGCCTGAGTGAGCTCTCCAGTAACTGTGTGCTGCTTTCCTTTGGGAAGCTGGAAGCAGGAATTTGGTAAGAATCACTCTGGAGAGGAAAAAAGCCAACAGAAAGCCCTTCACTGTATTTAGCGGATGGAAAACAATCTTTGTTAACAGACTGATTTACTGAAGCTCAGCAAAGATCCTGGACTTGGAGGACAGATCCTTTCCTCTCCGGAGGGAAAAAAAGATTAAACATCCCCGTGAAAATCTTCCAAAGGTAAAAGCTAGCAGAGAATTGTAACCCAAAGAGGATGGGTTGATTTTGGAGCATGTTCAGGGTAGTATTGTTGTTTGTGTTTGGTAGATTTTGTGCTTTTGTTTTCAGGTTTGTTTTTTTTTTTTTTTTTAGTATAAGCTTATTATTCTATAGAATTATTAGTTTCACAAAAAGATCCCCAGTCTGTACTGATAGTCTATAAAACAGTTTTCCAATTCAGCACCATTTTTCTTTAAAAAGCCACATTACTGAAATGTAATGGAGCAAGAGAAATTTGTACTGGATGCTTTCAATGTTTGCAAAACCCATAAACCAGGGTTAAATTATCTTATAATCTTACTTTTGTTTTGAATTCTCCAATGACTTATGGGCTTTCTGTGGTTGTTTGGTGATGTCTGACTTGCTGTAGTTCATCACATCCACTTACTAGGATGTGGGAAATAAAATAATATTCTTCAGTTTCTCAGTTAGTGAAGGCACTGGGGGACCCACAGGATCAAATGCTGTTTGATGCAGAGCTAAGTATGGTCAGCAGCGTGGCCCTTGTGGCAGGAGCAGCTCTGGACTTTATTGCTTTGGTGACTTACCAGGTGTGAGCTCGGGGCAGCTTATCAGGACTTCCCCACTGCTCTATTGTAAACAGCTGAGGACCATTTGAACCTGGGTGAAAATGAAAACAGTATGAAACAGAAATTGCTGGACACTACAGAGACTGCCTCAACGTTATTTTTAACATGAAATATTGGCATCAGTTGTGGGCTGGATTCTTCACCTGTAACAGGTACATTAAAGCAACATGAATGTGGTTCTTTCTTTCCAAGCCCAGTGAGTTGGTTTCAGAGCTTGCGTAATGCCAAGGAAGTCAGCTCAGAGATCAGCATTTACAATTCAGCGCTATGTGTGGGTCAGAGGCTGGCTGGATTCCTGTGGCGCCGTGAGCAACTCACCGTAGAGTTCAGCAAATCCGTTCATAGGCACACGTGACGTCCCGGTCACAAACTGCAGGAGCCGGATCCGTTTCTCAGCATCCATCAGCAGAACAGCCTGTTGGCAAATGGACACCATCAGCCCCAGCCTCCTTCCCTGGCCCGGATGGGCCCTGAGAGCAGCCCGAAGCCAGCACGAATCACCTTTTGTAAGAGCCAGCTCTCAGAACACAACGGACTGAGAGTTCCCATTTGTGGGCTGCTCTGGCAAAAGCGACACCTGCCCTCACCTGAGTGAGGTGGGAGCAGGTCCTGCCTCCAGCACAACACCCCCCATTCTTAGCAGTTTTCATGAAGAAAAAAGATTGCAAAAAAAGCCAATAACTTTCACTTACAGGACCAGTCAGAGGTGATGCCAGTCTTACCTTCCAGAACCACTGGATAACGGGATGATTTGGGCAGTAACCATTTTTGTAGATGGTGTGTTGTCTCCAGTCATTGACATCAACGTCACCAAGGCCACACATCAGTAACTGCAGGGAAACAGAAGGTGGGATGTGAATGGGTGTGTGTTTCCCTGCACCCACAGGGTAACGAGGTGTCACTGCCCCTCAGGGCTCTGACCTTCAGTCATTTATGCACACACAGGGGAGAGCTGGAGCCTCTTCCCAGAGTATTCCAGTTACTGGAGAATGGCTGCACACTGCCATACTTCCATGTGTTTGGCTCAAATGTGACTGGCAGAGGCATGATGGCACTTATCCACTAAGCTACTTCCAGGCTTTCAGAGGCACACCTCCAATCACCTCCCTGAGTGCAGTTCTTTGGATGTCATGAATAGATTTATTAATTAGGAAGAAACATCTAATTTCCAAGCAAGGCAGCTTGTGTCTGCACATTCCCTTAGGGAGAGGGATGAATGACTGAAGAGCCCAGAACATGGCACATCTGTCAGAACTGTCAGCTTGGGGCACCAAATTGACTCACCTCCAGTTCATTTTCATCAAAAATTTTAATCAGATCAATAGGAAGCAGTTCTGTGAATCCCTAAAAAGAAAAAGCGCAAAGTTAAAACTCTCATCCCACATAAATCCTAATTAAAAACATTAATGACCAAATTACTTCAAGCTCAAATAATTAAACTTGAAAGAGAATGACCTTTCTCATAAGGGAAAGATGATATATTCTTACACAAGATAAAACTGAAGAATCATAAACATTTGCATTCCCTGCCAAGCTTCCCCGCTCTCTTTACACAGACACCAGTGGGTAAGAAATCTGTATCCCTACTTTTGTGAAAGAAAGGAGCTAAAGAGCCTCACCTCCAGAAAGGCATTCATTTGTTTCTGCACTCTGTTGACAAACCGCCACTGGATGACCAGGCTGCAGAAAGAAACAAAACCCCATCAGAAAACCAAACTCATCAGCAGGTCTCAACCAAGTGTTCAGAGCAACCCCAAGTGCTTTCAGTTTGTCATTTACAACTTAGAACAGGTAACTAAGCAACTTTCACCAGTTGTTCCAATTTATTGGCTGGTGACTGATGGAATTTTGAAGAAACAAACCAAAAACCCCAGTGACTATGACCAAATCACAGTGGGAATAATTTTGCTCCTGTAGGTACCTATGTGAGCAGACATTTTATTCTTCCAGAGCACTGAGTAATTAAAAATTCCCAGCAAAGTCTGCAAGCTCTCAGGAGAGCTGTCAGGACAGCATCTCACCTATAAATAAATAAAGAAACTGCAGCATCAAAGGGACACTTTGCTTTCAGTACCCACAGCACAAACACTTCACAGGTGCAGGCATAAAAAAATCAGTTCCAGGCATGGAATCCAATAACCAGGTACTGGAAATTAATTCCAATTTGCATGACTGTATCAGTTTTAATGTCTTTCACCTTGGAAAAGGCCCTAATTTAAAATGCCAGCAGGTATAAGCGAATTTAGAATTTTACATCCTGGTAGATGAAACAACTGAGAAAGCTGAAAATAAAACCTAATTTCAGATTTGGCTGATTTTTGGTAGGAACGCTGGCACTGGAATCCTGGCTTTGGTCTGTAACTGGCAGAGGAGGACAACGGGATGAGGGTCAGGCTGGAAAGCACCTTCTGGCTCATCTGAACTTGAGCCAGATGTTGGAGATGCACGTTTCCATTGGGGAGGGGGAAATTCCAGGAGAACAAAGCACGTAATTTATTTTACTCTTTGTTCTTATGTCTGACTGGACATAACCAATGTTAACAGTAAGATTTTTTTTTTTTTTTTCAATGATCCCTGATGCTCTTGTGCAGTATAAACATCAGGAATTGCAGCAGGGTCAATTGTAAGTACAGCTGCTCTTTCTTACCCCCAGGCATATTCCATAATGATACTTACTCAATGTATTCCCGCTTGTTTTCATTTGTTACCATGATTTCGGACCCATTGGGCTTCAGGTCCACTTGATATGTCTATATTTGAGAAGACCAAAAAACTTCCCATTATTTGAGGACATCCTTCTCCCAGAACCCACTCTCCCTGAGCAGCATTTTACAAGCAGTATCAGGAAATCATTAGTAAATTGATTTACACTTTCAAACAAACTTGCACTGACAGAAGGGAAAACTGGCAGAGAGGCTAATAATTTTATTATAATTATTATTTATAATAATGAAATTATACATTTATATAAAATATAACCACAAAGGATGTAGTTTATATATACAAAATTGTAATAGTTATTATTTATAATAGAAGAAGCTAAATCACATATTGAAACTGCCCAAAGCCAACCAGTATATTATATATATTATTATATCTAGTCTGTGATTATATCTATTATATCTATTCTGTGGTTATATCTATTCTGTGGCCTCAGTACTCTCCCTAGTTTTCCATGTCATCCAGAACCTTATGTTGCTTCAGGAAAAAGGCAGTACAGAAAGTGGATCAGAATGTTTTGGACAGGACATCGAGTGCATAGTCTGAAATGCTGAAGTAAGTTTTTATAAAAGGCCCTATAGTCCCCAGGTCCAGTTGTACCTGGAGCCAGGATCTAGGTCTCAGAAGTAAACTAAGGGAAGATACTAAAAAAGGTCATAAAAACCTCGAAGCAAATTAATTTAATTTAATGTCTACAGCATTTTCATTTGTAATGGCGAAAGTTACCCATTGACTGTGACCCTTTTAAACCCCGCTGTAGCAGCTGCCGCTGTGACAGGCACGACAGGGAGGAGCTCCCTGGTGTCATTCTG